GTTTTTTTTTTTAAAATGTGATTTATCGTTATCCATTTACAGCAGAGTTCCCGCTGTTCACTTTATAGTTTTGTTTTTCGTTGTTTTGGTGAGATATGACATTAATTTGCCTTCACATCTTTTATTCATTTTAAATATGCAAAAATCCTCTAAAATACATTACCACATGAACTCTGGGAAATAGGACATATGATTTTAGTTAAGATTGGAGAAAATACATTCCACATACATTATGAAGAAACATAGAATTCTTGGAAGAAGATGTGACAATATTTGTTTATTTGTAAGACACCTATAAACCCTCTTACTGAAATACACCCAGTCCACTTCTATAGTTATCCACCTGATATTAAATAAGCCCGAAGCAACATCAAGACGGGAATGGAGTTTATTCACTGTTTCTTGTACTAAACTTGTACACGAGTGATAATTTTGTTTTACAGTTTCTCAAGCTCATAGGAAGCAGTTGAGCATAACCTTTTTAAAGTATTTTTCTGCCATTCTATTTTCATTAACTTCAGAAGAAAGAAGGGATTTCAACAGCTCACAAATATTTGCTTGTTAGGGAAAACAGTTTAGGTGTCAAGGTTTGTGGCAGGTGTAAATTGAGTGATTCCATATGGTCTTAAAAATTACTCAACCACAGCATCAAATCCCTTGTTAAAAGGTTCAGAAAAATGCAGAACAACCTAATTTAGCATCTATCACTTCAGGAACCTTTACCTTTTCACTAAGATGGATGAACAGAGGAACCATGGCAGATCTGTCATATCCATGCCACTTTCTCTGGAAAACTATTAGACTCCTAGAAGTCATCCTAGACTCTCTCGTTACTCAAAAAGCAGAGTCTTAGTGAGGGTTTATTGAGGGTTTTTTCTCCTCTGGTGCTGGCCATTTTCTGAATTAAATTAGCCTAATAATTAATCTACTTAATTCAGAATCAGCACTGTTAAAGACAGTGGGACCATTTCTTAATTTCAAAAAAATGGAATAAAAGATGTGACTAGCTACCATGTCCCAGCTCTCTCCCCATCCGTACTCTTGAGGTATTCCTGATCTGCCTGCCACTGGCAACAATGCTAAACTTAGTTGTAAGTGCTATTTTTTATTTCCTCATTTAGGAATAAGGTATCCTATGTCCTTCTATGGATATATCTAGAATGGAGTCATGATATAATCCATAAAAAAATTGATAATATTCCCCAATGTGCGATTGTATGATATCATTGGCTTTATGGATTATATTTTAAGACATGACCAAAGCTTTTCTCGAAATCTGATATTTTCAAAGCAATTTTGAAACAGTAGTTCTGGGTTCTAGTTTGCCTTTAAGAAAGTAAAGTGGGATCTTGCAGTCTGCAGAGAACTACAACAGTGACCCACAAACCTCTGCATTGTGATGGGATTGCTTCCCTAAACAACGAGAGAGGAAAATGTGACATTCAGTCATTTTTACCTCATGTTTTGTTTCAGTCTAAGACCTTTGCTTGATAATTTTTCCTCCAAAATACAAATAAATGTCACGTTGGTGAGAACATTGCCAAGCAGCAGTAGGAAATGATTTGGGCTTTAGCACAAAATATATTTTAATGGAAGTGTATCAAGCACCATTAGATTGCAGGAAGAAGCAGTCAAGAGCCATACAGACAACCTAAGTCTCCTTACTGAGTTTTAAGGTGGGTAAAAAATTAGATTGCTCATATTCAATATGCAGTGTGTCAAACTAAATACATGCAAGAGCCCGTGACAGCGGCGTAAATCGGTAATTGATGGGATGCTGGCAGTGATTTCGTATCAGGTGCTAATCAGACTGTTTTTCCACTTATCAGCTGTACCACTCAATAACTGACAACTTCTAGATTATCTTGAGCGTGCTGAAGATCTGCTGTGCTTTCCAAGTGACTCTGACATTTGTGGTCTGCACAGGATCCAGAAAACATCAGCAGCACCTTTCCACGTAGCCTACATTGGCTATAACATTTTTCATTTACCATAACAAGCATTGGGTATAATACATATTTGTAGTATTACAGCTTATTTTTATATAATACATATTTGTAGTATTCCACCTTATTTTTTAATAATACATATTTGTAGTATTACAGCTTATTTTGTCTTAAGTAACAAAGGTTTAATTTGGTCAGGTTATTGATGAATGCCCTTTTGTGGTTTGACGAGTCTGGCTCTGCAAATTTTGGGAGATCTGTTTTGACAATGTCCAGTTAAAGGTAAGATACTTGTACACACACATTTCTGGGAGGACTGAAAGATCACATAACACCAAATACTGAAACTGTGTTATGTATCATAAGCCACAATTAAATTGTGGACAGTAGAAATGAGTAGCAGCTTTGTTTAAAACCAAAGACAAAATATTCTTACATCTAATGAGCTTCTTGGAAAGATGGAGGGAAAGTGTTTGCAGAGGTTAAAGAGGGTTTAATTTGGGGGGTTTTTTTGTTCCCTCTGTCATCCTCGACAGGTTTTCTGATCACTGCTACACTTCCTTATTTCTCCCTGTACGTATGTGTTCCTTTTGCACTAATAATTATTAACATTTCACAAGTGTCTGGTGTTGGGGTATGTTCGTAGCATGGCCAATATTGATCCTGAAGGGAGGTTAATTACGAGTCATTAGTAAATCAATAAACTCCTTCAATCCTGATTTGGTTTAAACTACTACAGGAACAGATCAGTTTTTCCCCGTGACATATCAAGAACATCATGGTATTGTTACTGAAGACTAGGACAACTAGATACTACTTAAACAAACTACTTTTCAGGAATTCAAATATTATAATACTACTATGGTGTCTCTGCCAAACAGAATATGTTGGAAACCTGTTGGGGATTTTTTTGGGAATTCAAAATCTTTATTTTTGGATAGTTCCAAAGTGCTTGCAAAATCTTGTTAACACTCAGAAAGAATAGAAACTCTGAAATGTGGAAATATGACTTGCATCTTAAAAAAAAAAAAAAGAAGGAAAAAGCAATGTTAAAAAAGCTAGCACATCAAAACATTCCAGCTGTCAAATTTCGTAGTTCCACAATGAATCTTGTCTCTTGGCTTATTGTCTTGAGTTTGGAGTTTTTTAATTAGACTTTGAAATCTAAGATATGTTTTTCTTTTTTTTTAACAGAAATTAGTTTTCAGGCCATTAGCATATTTATTTAAGTAATATTGAAAGCAACCCTTAGTTAAAAATTCACAGTAAATTAACTTTTCCCTTAATATAAATGATATTTTACAGCCACTTTAATTATCTATAATAGAACACAACATTAATCTGAGAGAAATTCTCCTGGGAAAAATACGATATGTTTGTATCAATAAATTTAGCTGCGTCCATTTGACTTGAAAGGAACACTTAAGCCTGGAATTCAGTTCATGAAAAGTTTGAGCATTAAACTCCCATCGGGGGGATGGCAAGATACTAAGAAAAGTAGAAAATCTTTTCTCTGTATAGGCAGATTTTGAGAGTTTATAAATGTGTCCAATATCTTCGTGGTTAGATACATAAAGCTTTATTTTTAATTAGGTAGGCATATGTTACAATACATTAGGAAACAAATGCAGCCAATGTATGTTTTCAATACGCTGTTCTGCAAGCACAGAGATATTCATTTGAAAAAAATAATTTATAAAATGCATTTCAACTACAAATGGCACATCATGATGTCAAAGAAATGAATACAAATGCTGATGTTTCCAAGAATTAAGTAGGATTTTAGCTTTAGCTCTCCATCTCTTTCCCCACTAACCAAAATGAACATGTAATGCTGCAAAGAAAGTAGTTTCATATTGTAATCTTTGATACCAGCGTGATTAAGAAAAGCATTAAGAAAGGTTGATTTGTACATGGTGCTGAAAAATCAGTACTGGCTGGCAGAATGATAAATAATGGAAGCTGCTATTAAAATAGAAGTAATTACTGATATATCTATATACTTAGAGCGCTGTTTTTGCATATGGATTTTTTTTCTCTCATTGCACATCATGGCTACTTCATAAAAATTCCAGATGGAATTAGTATTAGGAAAATTTTAAGAGTAACCATTAAAACTAATCATAGCTGGACCTAACTCGGAAATATTTTTTGTATTATTAAAAAAATAAATAATATGAGGTCAGTATAAATCAGAATTTGCTTTAGTGAGTTGAAACTTTTCATTTGAAAGTTTTTTCTTAGTTAGCATGAATTCAGCCATGATAACCTGATCATCTTCTCTCCATTCTGATGTCTGAAGGGCACACTGCACAAGTTGGCTGATTTAGGGATCTTTAAATCCACCTCAAGCCTGTGGGCAGCAGGAGATAGTGGCTCACTCAGATAGGACAAAGAGATGCAAAACTGAGTTCAAGACCTTATTTTGGCCACATCTGGGAAGAGAAAGTCCATTCCTTGAGGGCTTTGCTTACTAAAAAGGTGAGGTTAAACGGAGGGGAAAAATGAGTGCACTCCTGTGGGATAAGGAGCAGAAGAGCCAGATGGGGTCTGCAGGTCGTCCTCCCTGGGACTCTGAACAGGAAGGATAACTTGAGTAGGAAAAAAGAAAAAAAAATCCCACTGGAAGAACCATCTCATATTGTGCCTGCTGACCTAGATTCTTGCTCTGATGGAGTTATGATGATAAAAAACCCCATTACATATTACTTGGGTGTGTACTGGAGAAGGACCATAAGCTAGAAGCAGTTATTCAGTTTAGACGTGTATCTGGGTTACTTAAAGACTTTGGGAGCTGTTTAATCTTGAAGTGGAACATGTTATAGATTGTGTTTCTGTGTATACTAATACAGGGATTAAAGCTGCTAAAGCCTCACAACTTAAAATGCTACATGAGTCTCCTTTAAGGCCCAGGCAGATCAACTTGTTTGGTCTTTGCAGGGAGAGGGAATAACAACTGGAGCTGCATGAGCTCAAGATGACATAAAAAACAATAACATTTTGGAGGCATATAAATTTGTTGGCCTGGCTGTAAATAATTTCCTCTCTTTACAGGAAGATTTCATCCCTGCACGTATACCAAAAGAGGACAAGAAATGATTTTCCCAGGTAATAAATATTTTTGGAGGTGTTAAAAGTTTCTTAATTTGTCTAAGGAGGAAATGAAGCTTTCGTGAACTTTATCACCTGATAATTTGGGCATTGAATTACTTAAAGTTTGCTTCCCAGACCCTGACAGTTACCCTGCCCTGAGTAGGGATAAACAAATAACTGAAGAAGGGTAGGAAGAATTGGATCAGCATTTGGGGTGAGAATTTTCTAAGTCACATTTCAGTTTAAGAAAGCCTTTATGGAAAAGATTAAATTGATAACGTTTCAAACATGCTTCCGATAAAGGGATTGATAAAAGTACAAATGAAATAAAAGGGGAAAAAAAGTAAAAAAAATATTTGCTGCATGGTTTAAAATATTCATTAAATCACATAAGCCAAGTTTTTGCTTAACAAACTGAGATAAGATGGTAGTGCCACTGCACTATTATCTGTAGGGCCAGCACTGATACTTATGCTTGTTTCAGAAATATGAAACTTGGGTTCAATTCCTCCATCAGCCTGAGGGCATTTGAGTCCTATCCAGGAACTTGCTCAAAACATGATGAAGTATCTCATTTAAAAAATTCGTATTTTTCTATGAAACATTACTTATCAGCCCTTTTCTCATTGTGGAACATAGTGCAGGGAGTCTATAAGTTCTTTTTCTGGTTCAAGGAGTTTACCATCTTCATTTTCCAAGAGAACTCAGCATATTTTAATATTAAACAAAAAATCTTGGCTTAAATAATTTCCCTGTGCATTAAGCTCATTAAGAAGTATCAGGCTCTCAAATCCATTAATTTATTATGAGTAGTGTCGCCTGCAGTGACGCTGCTGAATTTATTGCCCAAAGATAACATTTAGATAAAGAGATCATTCCTTTACAAATGACTTCTGAAAAAAACCCACTGCCCTTATAGAACCTAATTTAATTAATCTTCTAGACGAAGGCAGCAGTCAGTAGGAAGAATTTGATGTTGTTTAGCCCCACTCTTATGAATATTAATATTCAATAAAATTATTCTTCTCTTCATGAATACTATAAATGTGCATTAGGGTTGAAGCTCTGAAAAGTAACCAGTAGTTGTTTTTTTTTCCTCTCTTCTTGTAAGCAAAGATTCTCACTTTCCTTCATCTAATTTATGCAAAATTTTAACAATGGAGTTATGGTGGAACTCTTGTGTAAGGGAGAAAAGGATTAATGAATGTGGACCATGCCTGCCCTGAGCTGCACTTGGAGAACCCTGTGTGTCTGTATGTATGATCTGAGAATTAACATTTACAGCGCCTGACATTTTAAATTGTATAATTATGCTAGGATACATAAATAGAAGTACAGGTTTTGGGTCCCTGTGTGAACAGAATCTAATTTCACTATAAAAATCATGTAAGAAGCATTTCTTTAAAAGACCAGAATGAACCAACCTTTCTCTTTTCATGCACAATGAATTAGCATTAGCAAATCCATTAAAACAGTGTTAACCTGGGTACAACAGACAGTCAGACAAGTTCAGCTGCCATAGAAGTCTATACATTGAAGCTGGACCCAGCTTCTACCCACACAAACAACTTGGCCATTTCTGTGCAAAGATTTACACCTTGGGGTCTAGCAAGAGTAATAGGAAATATATTTCCAAACCATGCGGTGTTTGCACTCTCTTAGGATGAAGCAATGTTTTGAAAACTAAATTAATTCTGTTGAAATCACATTAATAAATATGAAAAAGAGATGGGGCCTTCATGTAACCCTTGTAAAGAGCAATGTCCCCCAAGCAAAGGTTCATTAGGTTTTTGAGACTTTATTCAGTGTTTACTGGAAATGTAGAGAGATGCAGGATTCACTGACCAGCATTTTCCTCCTTTCACTTGTAAAGTACTTCGTAAAAAAATAAAATTAAACCAAGTCTTTTGCTTGAAAGTACTCTCAAAAGGCAAAAAGATGTCTAAAGCTGGACCTGAAATGGTTCTGGGAAAGAAAGGAAAAGGAAATAGCTGAGAGAGTTTGCAGTCAAATCTAAATGTTCGCTGCCTTTTTATCTTCTTTGTACAGTTCTCAAACAGCAGCTTTTACTTCATATTTGCCTTCAAGAGGGAGCAACTTTGTTGTGCTCTGGCTGTACAAGAGCTGTACAGGTAACTGAGCCTGCTATGGGCTGGATCTCTGTCTCCTTCCACGTGACATTGCATTTCAGGGGATTTGGCTGAATATTTTCATTTTTCGTAATCATTCAGATAAATCATGTTTTAGACAAGTTTCTATTCTTTAGACTGTGTTGTTGCAGTGTGGGTGAACAAAGGGAATTCACTTGATCTCTTTGCTAATTGTATCACAGCAAATTGATTCCAAAGACTTTACAATCACTCCCTCAGTGACACTAATAAGCATAAAGGGAGGAAATATCAGTGGGGTACTATGACAGATATAGCACTAAACTACTTTCCCTAAACCTCTGGAGATAATTACTTCAAGCTCAATAAAGAGTCCTTGGTACATGTCCTCTTCACTTTTGTAGCAATATCTTAGATGATTTTTTGCTTTGTTATGGATTTAATTTTTTTCCCCCAGAAATGCTGTATAATATTGTGGCTCTATATAGAATAATGGAATATTTTAACATTAAAATGTACGTTCATCTGCTTCATTTAAACATAATTGATTTTTGGAGGAGGAAATGCCATGTTTTGCAGTACCCTGTTTACATATGAGAATTCTCTGAAGCTTGGCAAGTTAATAATTTGTGCCAGCAGGCCTGTAATTGAGCTCTAAAATTCTAGGAAGATGTAAGTTAAAATATTATCTATTAAACATTATCTATTAAAATATATTAAACAGTATATGTTAAAATATGCAGGGCAGGTTGTATCTTCCACTTGGATGTGTTGGAAGATAAAACTGTTATGCTGCGAGCGTAGCAGGTACATGTGTTTCTGTGTTGCTGATTAGTACAAAATATGTGAGGTCTGACCTAGAACAATACTGCAGCTTAATTCTGTGTTTGTAGAGATTATGGTTTTCATGTCAAGACACTGTTCACGTGATGGGGATATTTTCCAAAAGCTAGGAAATAATGAAAAATTATTTTATTAATCTGTTACACCTGTTGGGAGCAGTGCAACAGCTGCTGATCTGCAATTCAGTGAGAGATGAGCAAAGCTGGTCTATTCACCTGCACAGCACAGATTAAAAATAATAAGGAAGTGTGAAGTTAAATAATGAATGAACATTCAAAGGTGAGAAGGTGAAAGATGAGCAGCAACACATTCTGGTGTTATGAGTTAAGTTAGAAATTCTAATCAGTCATTAAAATAAAAGGTAAAGATGGAAGGGTTTGCTGAGAGCAAAGGGTTAGTAAAACTTGAGCAATGACTTAAAATACTAATAGAGGAACTGCAAACCTACACTTCCCAGGTATGTTGCTTGCAGACTCACTTCAGAGTATAGCTATATACAGATAAAAGCTATTCTAAAATAACAACATGGAAATATAGACCGTGAATTTATCTTTTAGAACAGAAGTCCTAATATTTAGGCGGACAGAGATGGAATAAAGCACAAACACTTGAAGCCAGATACAAAAGCAGGGATTCTGCTATTCACCTGCAATTTTCCAGAGCAAGCACCTTCCACACAGACCCTGAGCTGGCCAGGGCAATTAGGCAAAACCTTTCCACTTCAAACCAAGAACCCAGGGTGCTGATAAAATGCACGCCAAATAAACAAGGATTGTTTTCAAAAGGCATTGGTGTGCCTTTTTATCTCGGATGTGAATCTTAAAGAGCACTTGTGTTGCTTTTCACATGGGAGTTTGGTGTCTTGGACTGTAGTTGAGTTCTCCTATTCTGTGTAGAGCCCAGGCAGGTCAGCTGGGGCACTTCCCATAGTCCCTATTGAAGCCGTTTTCTCTACCACACAGCAAAGGCTGCCAGGGCAAATCTTAGCTGTCATTATACCAAAAGACACCACTTTGGCTAAAATTAGCACACTATTTCTTTGAAAATGCTTTTCAAGTTGCTTCAGGAGCACAACTCCCAAGACGTTGTTTACTCTACTTTTCATAACAAAACAAAACAAAAAAACCCAAACAAAACCAAAAAATGTACTGTAATACCCCATCCCACTTAGCAGGGGAAGGTTGATTGATGCACTCTGGGCTGCTTGCAGGAGATACAACAAAATTCTCAGGAGGTTTAACAACAAACTTTTATTTGCAAACTTTAAAACATTGAGGTAGCATAAGGTGCTTGGCAAATTTTAAAACAATGTCTAGACAAAGTAAAGCACTTCACAAACAGGCCATGAAGGCGGCCAGCGCCATTTTGTGTCAGGCTATGGGGCTAGTCCACCATTTTGAGGCAGGCCACAGGGTCACTCCGCCATTTTGTGTCAGGTCATTAAGTCAGTCCTCCATTTTGTGAAAGGCTATGGGGTCAGTCGCCGCCATTTTGTGGCAGGCCATAGAATTACTCTGCCATATTGTGGCAGGCCATGGGTCAATTGCCACCATTTTGTGGCAGGCCATGTGGTTATTCCACCATTTTTTGGCAGGCCTTGGGGTCATTCACCACTTTTTCATAGGCCATAGGATCACTCCACCATTTTGTGGCAGGCCATGGGGTCATTCACCACCATTTTGTGGCAGGCCATAGGGTCTTTCCACCATTTTGTGGCAGGTCAGGGGGTCAGTAGCCGCCATTTTGTGGCAGGCCCTGGGATCGCTCCACCATTTTGCGACAGGCCCTGGGCTCACTCTGCCGTGGCAGGCCATGGGGTAATTCCACCATTTTGTGTCAGGCTACGTGTCAGTCCGCCATTTTGGGGCACGTGTTTTTCAAGGGTTCTGTGTCTGCTTGTGTTTTCTCACGAGGTGAGTCTGTTCTGGCTTCCCATCTGGATTATATAACAACAAAAGCAGCAATTTATTTATTTATTCATAAAAGTGAAAGACTTCTATTTCATGAACTTATTTTATTTATCTATGATTATGATTTAATTTATTTATTTTCTATATTTTTATTTATTTTATTCATTTATTTATATTATTTATTTTTAATTTATTTATTATATTATTTGTATTAATTTAAAAATTTTATTTATTATTGATAGATGATTATTCATATTAGCACATAAAATACCATTCTTAAAAGGCCCAGTATTTTCTGCCCTGGCAACATTTTCGTCAGGCTAGAAAACTTTCCCATTACATTCACTTTGAAAAGAGAACTGTACAAAGACTGGATTTATTACTCAACAGATGCTCATCACATTGCTTAATGCTCTATTTCATGGTCCATATTCATCATCCTTTTTTGATTCTTAAATCTATACCCAATTCCTTTTGAACATCTGGTGTTCTTTCTCTTCTATGTTTGAAACAGAATAATTTGTTTAGGCAAAGCATTTCTTCTTGTAATGCTCTAATCCTCCTGGGTGTTTGGAACATAGGCAGGAGAACAGGACTTCTGCGATTAAATGTAAAGATGTTTGCAAGATTGTTTCATTTTCTGATAAATATAAATTTGTTCCTCCAACGACTTCATCTGTTGGCAGCCTTTGACATAAATCTGCTGTTGCTGGGAACTGGGAAGAATGTCCTTGCAAAGGAAATTGTTCTGCGAACCATTGATCTGTGTGCAGAATTCAAGGTAAATTAAAAAATAAACAAACTTAGATTTCTTTTTAGAATGGGCGTTAAACTTGGGAATATAGTTTATTAAAATTCAGAAATTGTTCAACATATTTTTGCATTTGTGCCGAAGCATATTGATTTGCTTTTTGGTAAGCACATGTTTCAGTGGGACTGTAGACGTAATGTCACCTGAATAGCTAATACACCAGCAGTGAAAATACTGGTTGCATTCTTGACATCTTAGTAGAAGGCTTAAAAATCTTTTTTCTTATTTCAAGTCATGGATATTTTCTGAGAAAAGTAAAACACGAATATGAAAATTTCAGTAGTTCACCATGGTGCCATACACCATGTCTGAAATCTCATTCTGATCCTGTCAGCCAGTGCACGCTCCACTCATTTCTGTGGAGTTGCTAATACATTCTAGCCAATGACACGTGTGACATCTGAACAGGGGCTGAGAAACAGTTTTCATACGTCAGAAAAATACTGTGACCCTTTGTTTAGTTGTTGCTTCTGCCCGTCAGCAGAACAACTTGGGCATGGGGGGCATACTGGGGGGTTCTCTCTGTGCCCCTCTCTCCTTCATTCACATCACCAGCAGTTGTCTGAGAGCTTCATTTTGTGTAATACCACGAAGCATCACGAGGATCTTCTCTTAAAAACTGGCAAAGCATTTGATCTGCTGCATTTAGCCTGCAGAACGTGGAACCCATGGTGCTGGAAGTCACACGCTGGCAGAGATCATGATGAAGCCCTTTCAGCTGGAAGGAGGACTGAAAAGGTGCCAGTCTTTTTAGCCAGCCCTGATTTTGGGAAAACACCAACTGCAACTTCTATTATTATCAAACTAATCACATGGAAAGCCTGATTTTATTCAAAAATAGATACTTTTGAATTATGTTAATTTTTAATTTTTTAGTGTCACATTTGATGAAGCACCAGAAGGCTGAGAACAGTGAAGTCTTCCTTACAACTTTTCATCTTGCTGGTGCCTTGTCAGCCTGAAATACATAGAGATTTACATATATTTTCCCAAGAGGTTGGCATTTCTCAGACAAGTGTTGAAATAGTAGTTGACATCTTTAATAAGAAAATGGAGCCAGAGAACAGAATGAGTAAATTAAAACAGCCATTAATTTGATTCTAGATTTGATCTGGAAAAAAAAAAAAAAGGCAGAAAAAATGTCTAGATATGAATCGGTATTGAATGAAATGCCATGATTATAGAATTAATCCTTGTCTGGAATCAGATATTAGAGATTACTTATGATCAGCCAGCACAAGTTCAGAGTTCCACAACTAAAAGTTGCCATAAATAATTGGAAATTGGGAAGCAAATAAAATAGCTAAGTGGTAGATGCACTGGTTTATGAAACAATTTCAGGGTACAGTTGTTTTTTACTCTGCAGAGAATGGCTAATCTTTTTTACATATAAAATAAGATTAGACTTTAAAGTATTTTTTTTCTGATTTGATATTTTTATTTGCTTCTTAAGTGGTTTAAATTTAAGAATTGCTTATTGATTGTTCATATGCAGTGGCTCATATGCAATGCTCACATCCTTTGATTGTTCGTATGCTCATGTTTTCTGCCTTGTTAGATCACTATGGATTTATTCAAAATCCTATCCCCTCCTGAGCTACCTGAAAAAATTTGGGTCATCTGGAAATTTTGTCAGGTCACTGAACTATTTTTACAGAATAGCTGAAAGAAATAATAGGAACAGCATCTATTCATGTGTTTTGACATTAAAATTTTCACTTGTTTAACATCATCAGGGTTAAATGGATTTAAGGTATTCATGTAGGCTGCATCACTTTGACATAGGCCATTTTTTCCAAGAAATCATGGTTTAAAGTGAGAAAATGGTCATCTGTAATGATTCACCTGCTTACACTGAGAAGTGGGAAAAGGTATTGACAATTTGTAAATATTTCTACATTCTTTTTGTGCCCCCAGTGCCTCTTGGTTGATCTATGCCTAAAACTGGGGTAATGATGCAGCTTTTCCTCAAGATTGTAATGAAAAAAGCTAAGTATTTGGAGGTGAATGTGACAGACATTGTGCTTTTTCTCAACGTTTTTATGGGAAATCTAATCCTTGTGAATTCAGAGCAAGGTTTGGATCTGCCAGGTCTAGTTTTAAAAGTTTGCAAAACAGGGAATAATGCTGAGATGTGAGTAACATGTGGAACAAGTGATGCCTAAATGATTATTTCAATGACAATTGATGACTGTCATCCCATAATTTCTTGTACTCGGTGCACTATCACACAAGTTTCTAGCAAAAAACCAGTCAGGGTTTTAGAACCGCAGCTAGTGAATATTGTAGCTCATTGCACTTATTTTTTAAATGATGTAAATTAGGTAAGTGTATAACAGTGTTTCTGAATGAAAAACGGAGCCACAACGTGGCACATTTCCAGAAGAACACTGAGGGGCAGCATGTACATCACTGAGCAACTTTATTTAATTACAGTTTTTAATTCTATTCAAGATTACTCTGCATTTTTAAACTTCTGAAGTCCTTGCTCTGGTCTGATCCTTTCATTCTTAAATTATCCCTGAGCAGTACATTTTAGTAATAGCAATACAAACAATAGCTAACATTTCTTTTTCATTATTGAGATTTATTCAGACATTCTATGTCCAGTTCTTGTAAGTTTTTCAAGTCAGTTTGAAAGAATACAGGGAGCTTTGTTTTGATCTCTTCTACAAAGATCTATTACTCACATTTTTATTGTCTGTGAGCAAGTCTGTAAAGAGAAAAAGTAGCAAATGTGGTTTTTTGCAGCAAGGATTAACTTCAATTTACCTGTAAAATTAAGAGTTGAGTAAGATACTGGTTTCAAAGCATTGCTTAATGGGGTTTTCCACCTGAAGTTTTCTTTTTTTGCCCTCTAATAAAAGCACATGTACTGTTTCTGCTCCGAGGACCTGTTCCCTTGTCCTGCTCCACCTGTGTGACCACACCAGCTGCAAGACATGATCTAGTTATGACTGAGAATCTGCCTGACCCTGCTGGGGTAGCTGACTTATTCTAACTCTGCCTTCTCCAAGTTACTGCTCTTCGTGCAAAAGTCAGGAAAAAGAAGAAATCTGGATGTCCACACTACCAGCACAGGTATAATTTTAATTTGAAATTGTAAGCCTTTTCACTGGTATGGCCTCTATTCTGTCCCTTTGGCTACAGATATCTTGGTTTGGCTTGGCTGTTCTATATTCCACTGGATGCAAATAATTAAAACTTGTATAATTCTGAGAATGTTAATTTTGTTCAGAACATCAGACTCTGCTTTTGCTTCCTTTCCTCCGTTCTCTTTGGTGAAATTTGTAGGCAGACTGGGATACAGGATTCATTGTGGAATACTGAGAAATGTCACATAATTTAAACTAAAGCTCTTCCTTGAGCTAAAGGTACCTTAGCTAACCAAAATATGTAAGTCAGGAATCTGCTAGGATGCTTTGTGTCAGATCCAGCTTGGCCTTGCTCTGAAACAATAACCATAAAGGTGAAAAGCAAGACCCATTAACCATCAGGAAATGGAATCTCACAGATAGAGGCTAAAATTTTTTAATGTTTACAAGCACATTGAAATTTGTAAAATGCTCTGTCAGATGGCACAGCACAAATATCCATTAGAAACCATAATAAATCTTCTCTTCAATGAATTTCAAATATTGCAGTCCTATGTTAACACATCATTTATCCCTCCATATAACATTGCAACCCAAAATGTCTTCCTGGTGAGACAGTTGTGAACTTTATCTTTTTTTTGTCTATCTATTAAATTCATGATATTAGACTCTCATGGAATAGTTATAAACAAATTCATAACACTATTTGCCTGAATTATTCATTTGCTGTGTGATTGCAATGATTTCAGGTCAAAGGTCATAATGCTTAATTATATTTCTAGCAGTTCTTAAAAATAATTGGATTAGAAATCATGCACCGAGATGCTACTTATTATTCTTAACAGTTCAGGACTTATTTAAGTGTTTTAATCAAGCTGTAAATGATGTATATCTCAGACTACTTTCTTTCCTGGATTTTGAATCACAGTTTGTAAGCACTCGAGCACAAACCTTTTCATTAGGCAAAACAAATTTTTGTAGCATTTTGCCTTTCTGGTTCCTCACAGCAGGACATAAACCCCAGCCAGCAACGTTAGAGGCAAAGCCACACTATGCTGCCTAAATAAATATCCAGAATTAGCGCATCAGTGAACTAATGCCACCAGAATTAATCTCATACACCTGCAGAATGTCTTGCCCAAATCACTCTTAATTGATTGCCATTGGTATTTGTCTGAGTTGCTAATGGAAATCCAGTTTTTAGTGAGGCAAACAGTCTGCTGTGTATTTTCATTAGACTTCCCGTGCCTGTATTGTACTGCACCTGCCTGCTCCCAAAATGCTGGTTATAGCTGTCATATACTTTTATGAGGATGGGAGCAATGTTCTGGCAAGCTAACTTGACTCAAATTGTGTTGGGATATAAAACATGAAGACCCACTTGTGATTGCAAAGGTAGTAAGTCTAATTTGATTAGGGCTGCGGTGACATGGCACATTATGGACCTCATTTGTCATTCCTCATAAGTGCTCGTGAAAGGATCGTTCTGAGAGGAGGCACAATTGGAACCCAGGAACACATTCAGCACCTCTCGTGCTCAGGGGAAGGGCAGGGAAATGGCAGCAGAGCCTGATCAATATTGGCTTTAAAATAAGAAGAAACAGGAAAGGCAATAACCAGGAGTTCCTACCTTTTGAAATGAGGGAAAAGTTTTCAGAGGGAGTATGACTTTCTCTTTAAGATTTGTGTTGCTGAGCCTCAGCTATTAAAAACTCCACAATTTCAAGCCTTAGAACTCTGTTGTTAAATAACTGGGCCTTGTTTTCTAAAAATGTTCTAAAAAACCCTTCCATGAGTTGCTAAGCAACTGGGCTTGGAGAAAAAGGCCAGATCCTCAGTTTATGTGAAGGGGAAAATTTCTAGGTATATGTGTGAATATAGTATCCTCTCCATTCTTCAAAGCTGGGGATCAGGTTAGGGGCTATTGGGCAGATTTGGTTGTGGACAGACAATTCAGCTGATTAAATGATTTTACAGAGATGGCAAACATTAAACATTTTGGCAACATCAGTACGATAACAAAAATATCTCCTGTGGAAAATTGCAAAGGTTTTAAATTTTTCTGTCTCTATTTTCCAGAATCCAGCTGGAATACGTGTTTGAAATTATTTGGTCTCTGCTTTTTAGCTTTTAGGTGTCTTAGTATACAAATATTGCTGAAAGGATTCATTAGAAGGCTATGAATACTGGGGGAAGGAGTAGAGTGGAAAAAGGCCTCTTTTCCTCTTTTTTTTTTCCTGGAATATTCTCTCTCTCTTGTCAAAAAACATGACTCAGGTTGGTGTTAAGGTAAGGGCTAGTGTGACCTCAAAAAGAAAGTGTGATTGATATTAATTACATAATTAATTTCATAAGCACGGTATATTTATGTTTCCTACTACTGCACCTGGGAAGATGGAAGACTAATATAAAGAGAAACCAGGAATATAATTCACCTGAAATATGAGACTAAATTAACAAATAGAGGTGGACTTTGCAAGAGGGAATTGGACACCAAAACTATCTTTGGACACCAAACTATCTTTGAGTTCACTTCTGAAATAGTTGGAATATCTGCCACTGGACTTTTGTGAAAATATTAAATTTTCCAGGAAATTTGGGCTCTGATTCAATTTTCAAATGGGATTTTTGTAATAATTTAAAGTTATTTAAACTGTTAAAAAAATTTATCATGTATAAATACATTTTTCTTCATCATGGTAAATATGGACACTGGTATTTAGATTTCTGTATTTTGGGATAACCTAGAGATTAAATGTATACAGTGAGGTCATTGTATTCTTTTGTCTGAATATTTTTCAAGTATTTTTTTTCCTAGAAAATGCCCTTGCACAAATAACTTGGCTTATAGATAACTGTTTGGAAATGTCAAAAAGGGCTCCCTGGACCTGGCAGCTCTAAACTGGATGAAGAACTATGTCAAGGGAGGGAAAGAGAAAAGGTCTCCAGTAATTTCCAGTATAACAAATATTTTTTGGTGAATTTCTCCTGCAGGCAATGTGTGTAAATATAATACACAGTGCTGCTGAATTAGAGTTACTTTGAGAAATAACTTGTAGGATACATGAATGGAAAAATAAAAATGTGGTATTTAGTGTGTGGGTAAAAACGTGGTATTTGGGCTGTCTCCAGCAGCTTCGTGTTCCCTCACTAAGAGCTCTCCTCTGTCTGTTCAGTCCCTCTGTCCTGCTTCCATTAGATCTCTTGCAAGGATCATGCTTAAAAGTTGAGTTTTGGTGAAGAAAAAGCAGAAAACAGTATTATCAATATGAGGTAAGTGTTCAATTCATCTTTCAGTGGCCACTGGTAGAAAAACAACCTTAATTCTTCAAAATCCAATTGAGGTATATATGTTTTTTTAAATAAATAAGTCATACTGGATATTTTCAGGAGACTATAACACTTTTTGAAGCCTCGTGACATGCATTTTAATTATCACCTCCCATCTAGTGTGTTGAATGTTTTTAGGCTTGTTCAGTGCATTAAAGCAGCAACTATGTTAATAAATTCTTGTCACTGATTGATATTAAATGACACGTAGCAAACAGTCCATCTGTCTCTGTTCTATCGTTCCGTGCCTTCTTTCATGTTTCCATTACAAATTCTGTAATAAATAGTCTGATCATTTTGAGTGACATTTGGGATCTTTATTGGACAAGACATTTCAAGTACATCTGTCTTCTGACTGGTTTATAGCTGACAGTTCTAACAACAGCTATTACCTTCCAAAAGGCTGCATTCAAAGTGTTCTAAGTGATCTCCATATTCCCCTTCCTGATTTTCTTTCTGGTTTCAAGGGTGCATGTTGCTGACATTTCTAGCCTGTGTACTTTTTAAATTCAGACACTTCCTCTGTGATGATGATTTTATCACTGTTATGCTGAGTCAGGCTGTATCTGCCTCACTGTAAATCTTACTCCTAGTCTCTTTTATCTGATCCTGTTGCTGTCCTCTGTTAACCATATCACTCTGGCCCCTTTATATCTTGGTGGGTGTAGACTTTCTAAGTACTCAAACTTTACAACTTCTCTAATATACGAAGTCCCTGGAAGCCCAGAGCAGAACAATTGAAAGTACCAGCTCAGCAAAAGAGTGTTTGACATGTCTGATTCACAAGTTATTACTGGCATGCTCTAGTTGTTCTTATCTCAAGTTGCTGTGAAATTTCTGTGGAATTATTGTCAAATCTGATGGCTGAACTATCAAGTCATGAAGGGGTTGGGTTTTTTTCTTATTATATAAGACATTCAAGACTTTTCTTCCTTCAGTTACTATCCCACTCATCTTCACTATTTTTAATAAATCCTGTTTGGGTGGCCACAGCACTTGCCTTTGTCTTATCTTCTCATTCCCTGGTGCTGGGAGGTGGCAACTTGCAAGGAGTCATACTGCTGAGATAAGTCTGACACATAAAATTATTTGACTTGACAATAATCCTCTCTTATGTGAAAACCAAACCTTAATACTCTTGTGAGGATCCGCTGGATTAATTTCCTCTATCTGCATGAGCAGAGGCACCGGCCTGTGCACAGCAAAGCCGGAGAAACGCCTCCAGCTCCGGTGCCTCTCACCAGAGCTCTGTGCCCTGTCACTCCTTCTGGGGGTTTTGCTATATATAAACCATATATAAACTCCTGAGTTAGGAGATAATGGGTACAGGTGAGGAGGTATCTCTTGAAATCCTGTGAATTCTACGTTAAGTGCAACAGCACGTGAAGATCTTTGTAGAGCATCCAGGCCTCCTTTCTTGCTTACTTTGTTTTAAGAGTTTCTTTGAGCTTGCTTTAAATGAGAAGTAAATTTTGCACTCAAGGTGAACAGTAATAATTAAAAAAACAGCCTTTGTCATAGAGAAAGTTTGACTGAAATTAATTTTATTTTGGATATGTGGAAGTAAAAATAAGAGTCCTTACCTGTTTTCCCTGCTGTATGTCAGCACATTTAGTCCAAAAGTGAGGAATAGTAATTGTTAGTGACTAAACTGTAGCGTGATATATTATGTTCTGAGGTTGTACTTCTCCACTTTAAATATGAATATTTCATCATTACTACACTTTATTTTCAACTCTTCTGGGGAATGCAGCATCATACATTTTTAATTGTTCAGCCAGACACTTTCCACAAACACACACGAATTTTAATGGTGTATCTTCTTGTTTCAGAGACGCCCTGGGCTGGAGGATTGGGTGATTTGAGGGGCCAGGCAGTGTCTTGAGAGCTTTTCACCTGAGCACCCGCTCCCAGCGCCACTGGAAGCACTGGCAGAAGGTTGGAAGGAGCCATGACTCCAGGTCTGTCCCTGGGAGGTAACAGGTGAGGCCCTTTGGCAGCACCAAAATGTTCACGGCTCAGACTTTGGGTTGAACCAGTCTTGTGTAAGCAAAATTATACTTTCTGGTCTTTCTCCCCTCACACATGGTCGTGTCATACGCGCAGTTTGGTAGGTAAAAAGTGACTTGAAGTGGCACCATAGGATGTTGTTGTTGCTGCTGTTGTTCTAAAATTTTAACTGTCTTTAGTCAAAACAACGAATTTGCTTAAAAATGCAGCCGTGGGCCCTTGAGATTTCTCGGAGGGGCTCACACTTTATGGGAATAAGCACGTGAACAGCAGAATTGTCAGACTCCTACTGCATTGTGTAAGAGCCTTTGAATATCTTAAGTGTCTGCAGGCACCTCTGTGGAATTGGGAAACCATTTAAAAAAATCAGGCTGAAATGTCTGAGTCCCATCTCAAACTGGATAACAGAAAGTGCTGAAAGTTTTCAGCTTTAATCACGATGTGACCTTTTTACCCTTTCCCTCGAAAAGCAGGGGAAGTCATGGATTTAGAAGTCAAAATATATGCTTTTGTAAATAATATATAAAATAGGGCTGAATTAAGTTGCATTTTAAATCCAAGGAGCTCTAGTTCAAGGTCACATAGTTTACTCAATTTTAGCCATAAATCTCCAGATCAATAACAGAGGTTGAACCTGATAAGGAATATTTAACCTTTAGCAAATGCCTCTATCTGTTTTGTAGAGAACTTGAAAACACAAAATCCCAGCTCTGTGTGTATGCAGTCACATGTGCCTGCAGTTATTAACCATGGAAGAAACAGAAATTATGTTTATATTAGGCAAAACATAGAAGATGGAATGAACATATTTGCCAAAACATTCTGTTATTCAAAATTCTCACTTTATTTGTGTGTTCCTAAAACTTGCAGCTATGGTTAAAAGAAAAATAAAATTAAATACAATTTTTTTAAAAAACAGAAAAATATATACTTAAATTTTAAAGCATATGCAAAAAGAAAACTTATTTATTGCCGTCCCTCTTAAATTAAGAACTTTGGGCCCAAAATGACTGGTTATGGCCCTGTAAAGAGTGCTTGGCAGTGCAGGAGGAGCTCTTTCAAGCATCATATCCTGAAATTTCAGCCCAGTAAAGGGAAATACAGACCAGAGAAAGGTGGGCTGGAAAATCCAAAGTAAAGTTTACGAAGCAAGCATGTTTATCCCTTCCCGAAGCTCCCAGGAGAAGAGAAAGGAAAGCAACATTACACCATAACAATAAAATTTCTTTTTGTTTTGAATGAAAGTATGGAAAATTCCAAGAAAGTCCCCTGTAGACTAACCCAAAAAGTGTGTTACCTTTCCGTGCATGACTCCCACCTTTTCTGTCTTTGAGAATCTGAATGTTTAAGAATTCATTTTGGCAACTTTAGTGAGAGTATTTTCAGGCCATTAAAGCCTTACTGAGTTCAGCTTGAGAAAACCAGTCCTTATGATGAGAGGAATAGCTACTTAGGATATCAGTATCCCAAAGAGAAAAGAAATACAGGCTCTGGCTCTCATCTATCATATCCAAGCAGGCAGGACTCATTTCAGACACAGATGCATATTTAATAGCTTTGGAAGTGGTATTAACACAGGTGCAAAGCGGGCAGGAACGTGTAATTGCTTGTTACTGCAAAGCCCTGGCACCACAATGTAAAATACACAGTTACCTGTATCTACCACTGATAAATCACATTTATGTGGGCGGCAGCAGCATCCAAAATAACCCCCCCCCCCACATCCCATTAATTTTTAAAGTGCGAGGGCAATTAACTTATTCACTGGGAAAGCTAAAAATCATTTTCTGTGAGCAACTTGTGGCTTGTGCAACTCGTGCATTTTGGCTTTGGAAGAGGCAAGGAAATATGATGGCATCTCCATACTGGGTGATGAGACTGACTGAAAGGTCTGCTTATATATGTATATATATGTGTATAATGCTTAACTTGAATCCTTTAACATTTCCTAGTAACTTGGAGCAACAGAGGTCATAAATGCATTCCATAATTTATCTTACTGTCATCCCTCAGCACTACAGGATCTTCATGCTTCCACTAAACATCATGGTGTGAACCCCTGAGAGAGATCTGATGAACTGAAAAAGAAACAAAATAGAGAAAATTTTGGTTCTTAGAACTGATTGGATATCAGAAGAAACTCAATTTAGGCAATTCTTTGGAAAAAAACCCAAACCCCACTTCTAAATCAGTAAGGAATTAAGCTAAACTGTCTTTTGCAATGATCACACAAGTACCTGAAGGGAAAAAGCCAGAGCACATCAAATGCAATTTGCAACACGTCCTGGGTACAGCTTGTTCTGCCATCCAGTGCAATCAATAAAAACCTTTCAGTGATGTTGATGGTTTGGGATTGAGGCCTCCGAGTGAACAGCTGTATCCTGGGAATGCAGCTGTGCACCATCGCACCACGTCTGGCAGGTATTTTGAGCCCAGACAGAAAAAGCTACCAAACAGCTCATTTGCAAAAGGGTAGAAATCAATCTGTGAAAAACTCTAACGTATTTTTAGGTTGCCTTTAAATTGATCGTGGAAGATCAGTTTAAAAATATGTATTCCTCAAGTCTAAAAACTGTGCTTGTGTTAAATATGTTTTGCCAGGAGTAACGTATGACTCTGTGGAGGTGGATTAGAATCAATACTGAAAGAAATCCAGTGACGTAAACCCATCTATTTGCCTTACAAAATTCTTGCAAAAATTGATGTTGAATCCAAAAAAACCCCATTTTTTCTAACTAATGTTTAAGCTTTTGACCTAAGTATTTGGTTCAAACTCATAACTCTCTCTCAAAAAAAAAAAAAGGCAGATACTTATGATTTCTCAAGAGAGATATGGATGTGCTTGGGAAATATTCTTTGCCACTGTTTACAACTTGAGGTTTTCTGTCATGTCCTGAGTGATAAATCTCGAGCACTCGCAAAACTGACATAGCAGTTACTACTAAGCAAAGATTTTTTTGGAAATGGTGTTTTACATGGAGTTTTGTGACTGTCTAGAAAGATAAGAATGGCAAAATTATTTTTAGCCTAAGATGAAGTATAAGAAAGAAAACCACAATATTTGATGCTTTTTTTTTTTTCCCCCTCTAAGAAAACATGCAGGTCACTGAGCTACTGAACAGCCAAGTACTGAGCTGGTGTCTAAATTAGAGTCCAGTGGTTTGGATTGCCAAAGCTTCAGCAGGGTCTGGGCAAGTACAAGGACTTGTGAATAAAGAAATATTCCTGGAGCTTCTATTAAATGTGTCTTTTCACTGCTAAGCACCTGCTTTATGTAAACCTCACGAAAAATTTTAGTCATGACTTGTCTGCAAGTCTATTCATTTCTATTCACTCGAGGTTTGTGGGAAGTAATCACTGAGGAAAGAACTATCAATAATATTTATGAAAAATGGAGCCTAATGATTGTCAGATGCCATTTCATAACACTTGGAGGTAGAAAATCACAGTGCACACTGTGCAGGCTCCTTGAAGAAGGTGCTTATTCTGATCCCAAACACTTTATCTGATTGTGTAGCTCCCCAGATAAATCAAATCCAGCTCAGTGCATCTGTTGCTGGTTGCTCAGCATATTCTCTCCCTTGCTCTGAGTGCAGATTTTAGAGTTCTGTAGAAGAACAATTTTCTTTTTGACAATACAGCAACATCAAAACTTGACGGGAATTTTATATTCAAATGTCTAATTGCTTTTTCCTTAGTTGTCTGTTTAAATTGGGAACTTACTTTGACACTATCTCTAAATTCAGTTACTCCTTACAAAGGGACAGGAGGAGGATGATATAACTTTTTAAATATTTGGGGGTTTTCCATCTTTACATGTTAATCAGTAACTTTTGAAACAAAGGGTATATTTATGTTTTCTTTTACAACACTAAAAGTGGTAAGCACTGAAATAAAACTTATTTAGTGGGTAGTGAAAGTAAAGCAACCTCACACCCCCTAATTGAATAATGAATTGTAATGAACAATATTATATTTTTTAAAAGATGCTTCTGTTTCTATTTACTCATTTGAAGATAACTCAGGACTTCCTTTACAGAGGCTGTGTCATTAATATTGATATTAAAATCTGTGTTAAAAATTGTATCAGCCAAATTCTTAGATAATTTCTAAAAATTTTCCAGTATTCATGTCAGATTCTGTTTTTCAAAAAAAGTTATATAACAAAACTTTAGTAACAGTCTCCTAAAGACTGAAACACATACAGAACTCTGAAGAGTAATTTTATTTATTGTGTTTTCTTGTGTGTGTGAATAATATTTGTACTGATCATTTTTAGGCAGTTATCATTTGTAAACACTCACAGAATATTTTAGGTAGTTCTTTGATTTCTGCTTTTGAACTGTTGTATCAGTAGTTTTTTGTTTTAATTGGCTGTTAATTTATATGATGACATGTAAAAACTGGGAAACTGGTGGTTTTCTTATACCTTTTATGAAATACAATACCAATTGTTTGCCCAAATGTTACCCCTTGGAAAAAAAATAATGTTAATATTAGTATAAAACACAACCAAAACCAGTTTTTAACTAGTTTAAAGCTTCTGATGTAGAGCTACTAGGATGGTTCTCTCTTGTACTGTAAACACTGATAACATAGAAATCTAAAAATTGACAATGTAAAACTCTAAACCACTGATATTTAGGTACATGTGTATTTAGCTCATATATGTTTGTGCCCACAGTTTGCATTTAATGAAATCTCCAAATCACACAATATAAATGACAAAGTAAATGTTAAATACAGCCTGTAAAAATTATCTTGTTCATACATTTGCCTGGTGTTGTGGAAATCTATAATAGTATAATGTATGCAGCACGATGCTGTAATCTGCTCTCAGTGATATTTCTTCAATACACCGAGGAATGAATATTTTCATCACTGATGATTAATTTTTTCCATTGATTAGTGGAGAGTTGATGTCACCATAAGTATCAAAATAACATCTCGATGTTATTTCTATATGTTTCTATGTCTCAGAAACAGCAAATATTGACAAGATCAAGGATTCAAACACGAATAAACTGTTTTTCTTTTCATGTAGCTAAATAAGAGCTGAAATGCTTTTCGTATTCTTTGCTGCTCAATGCCTGCTCGCAAATCCATGATGTGGTTGATACAGTTCTTGGTCAGAACTTTACACTGGAACATTTTGTTGTTTCTTATTTATGTTTATATTAATCCTGGACAGTTTTGAAAGTATTCATTGGCTTTCTAGCATTCTTAGAACATTCTTATTCCTGCTTTGAAACAATATTTAGCAGAAAAATGCAAATGGACTTGCATGAAAGAGTGTTTGGCAAAGAACTTGCAATTAAATAGTGATACTGAAGATTTAAATGAAAAAGCTTTTTTTTCCTGCAAAGCTTTCTTGATTTCTAGAATTTCTTGCCAAAATACTTCTGGAGCCAGGATTTTGTCTTGTAGAACGGGGGAGGAGTTCCCAGGCATGGTCTGACTGTGCTGGAACAAGATCAAGCCCGGGAGGTTGGATTCCCCTGAGTGCAGGATGCACAATTGTTTCAGAAAGAACCTGGTCTAAAGTTAAGGTAAGGCTTAAGTGATATTTTCTATTAGCTCATGAACAACTTGAGAGACAAAAATGGTGCTTTTAAACCGTGCAAAACATAGTAATATTTACTGTGCAAAAGGAGTCAGTGAGAGAGTTCAAGTCACTTTCTGGTAAATCAATAAATGGGACTGTTTGCATGTTAACTGGGCTTTGGCTTTTCTTAGTCACCAGGGATTGTTTGCTGTGGTAATTGCAATATTTCAGAAGCATAAACCCCACATGTCAAAAAAACCCCACTTTGACACATTCCAGTGCCTTGAAACAAGTCTCCATATAACCTGGATCTTGAGATAACCCAAACAAAGTTTGGGGTCTTTTAGAGTTAATCCTCTGTATTATGTGAAGAACACCATACAGATGTGATCTGGAAACCTGTCTGGTGATGGAGGTGCAAACCACAAAATATGCAGTTAGCCTTTTTCTTTGTAAAAAGTGTTTTAAGCTTTAACCTCTACAGAAAACTAATTTCCAGGATTGGTGTGCATTAACACCCCTATAGTAGTTCAGCCTGGCACATCTATAATTAAGTTTGTACCAGTATTTGTGATATATAAATCCAGCAAAAGTTTGTGAACACTAGTCAGAACATTTAAAAGACCATTTATAGTTAATTTGTATTAAGGAAGTTGAGGGCACTTGATTTTTATACAAATATCTTTCTTTGCAGGCTACCATAGACCAGTTCATTTGAAATATCCAAGTCCCTAAAAGATTACAGAAATATGAAGAGTGTAAGCAGATCGATTTCTGAAGGTCTAATGATAAGGTTTGTCGGGGTGTTTTTTGGTTGGTTTTGGTTTTTTAATCAAATTTTAGTATTAGTAGGTTTGCAGAATGCATGAGATGCTGCTGCTGCTTTTTTTTTTCCCCTGAAAAATGGAGAATTATGTGGTTGATTTTGTTTTGTTGATGCCATCTATTTACTGTACTGACAGTCCCAGGGGCAGCTGGATGAATTTTTTTGTGCCAGAGGATTCACATCTAAATTTACGTGATATTAAAAGGGATTTTTTTCTTTTTTATTTTTAAAAAATATAATAAAGCTTTACAGTATGAGGATGTAAGCTCTCAGGTACCATTTGAGATACTAATATTGTCATTATATAACCCTGTTAGGCTTTGCAAGATGGAAAAAGCTGAAAATGGACCTGAGGGCGAGCACAAAAGGAAATGCAACATGGTGCTTCCAAAAGCAATCGGTCAGGAGAGAATTATTGCAAACCTGGGCCCTTCGTGGGAGGAAGCTGCACAGGAGGCAGAAATGACTGAAATGGCCTAGAGATGACAGTGCCTGTAAAAATATAGTGAGTGCTAACGATGCAGGACAGAGGGGGAAATGCAAACACGCCACCTTATGGATCAACAAATGGACAGGCCCTGTGTTTGGGGCACCACTGAGACCAGCTGCAAGTGCCTCGTTGGCAGATGTTAGTGGGAAGGAGAAAGGTAATAGCACAGAGTGCTGAGAAGAGGGGAAAAAAAACAGGAAAAAGACTAAAATTGTTAGAAAAATTATTTTTTGTTTGGTAGTAGCATTAAAATTCTTTCTGCTTGTAGAGTGCACTGAAGTACATATTTTGGTAAATATTTTTTATCCAAAAATTATGTGTTTAACTCAACATGAATCTTTACATTCTCACATAAAGTGTATGTGTGCTATGTTATTTTTAATTTAACTTTTTCCCAGTTGCTACATTACTGATGTGTTGTTAATCACAGTGTCTCAGGAAGTAGCAATATTTGCTTATACATAGAAGTAAATGCATAAATGGCACCTCAACAAGGCAGCTCTGGTTCCCTCCAGCCACAGAGTATTCTGAGGCAAAAAAGAGCCTTATGATAGGTGTAATTGTAGGTTAAAAACCCACAAACAAACAAACTCCTCTTTCTTCAGACCCTGTTTTTTAAGGTTTTTCCATGCTGGGAAGGTGCTGCCGTTTGAGACTGCTGGGTTCTCTACAGCACATATCAGATGTGAAAGACATACACAAAAGCACTTCAGGCTTCTTGGACACAGGTAAAATATTTAAGAAAAAAGCAAAGGAGTTACATTTTCCTTTAAGGTTAATTTTTGAGAAGGAATTTCTTTCGTATAGTCTCACTGCAAACTTATTTACTTATCAAGGTTCTCTGCTCAGTTTTCATAGGGTTTCAAAAATCCCTCCCTACTGACTGGTCAGAAATTATGAAGTGAACTGCAGACAAAGAAATGGATTTTTTGTCAGTGATTGCTCACAATCTGGATATTACAGCAATTTCAGAGTCACCTGGAGGAGTCTGAAACCATTCTGTCCACCCTTGGCAAGGAAAGATTGTGTCCCAGACCTTAAACTAGAAGCTCTTCCAAAGGTAACAGTGTCAGTCATACTGTGGGGGCAAATATTGGGATGCAGCTGAATGTCACTGGAAGGCAAGGTACTGTATATTAGACCTACATAATGAATGCAAATTGTTTTTTTTAGGATCCAAATGGGAAAGCATAAAAGGCTACAAAAGCCTTAATTTATGATTTGTTCGTTTAGAGCTTCAGACCATTAAGTACCCATTAAATCACTATTTTATATGCTGCTAAGTGCATCTCTATCACCAGAATAAAAAAAGATTGTTTAAATTCACCCTGTATCAAATAAAACATTTTAATTGAGAGCATTTGTGATAACAAATTGACTGGAATTGAAAAATAAATTAATGCTGAGCTCTGATGACAGGACATCTTCTGATTTTGCTTTTAGTGCCTTGTAACATGAACAGTTACATTATAAATATGTTTGTTTGTATTTCGATTTCAATCACAAACATTGTACCCCAAATAAAACTTTCATTGCACTGGCAGAGTTCCCTAGACTCATGTCTGTCACAGTAACTTTTACCGTGGAGCTCAAATAATAACTTTTTAACCATTTTAACCTTTTAACCTCCATTATTTAGGCTGTGCCTTAAAATGGGGAGCAGGCACAAGCAGATGAGAAGAAATTGCACATTTTCCTCCCTTTGGATATTTCAGTGTTTGCTTTTGTTTCCAGAGAAGGCAAAGTTGTAACACCTGCCTTCAAAGAACATTGATTTGGAAATAATGACATTTTTGGGGGGGTCATTTTTGATTGCGCTAAAACACTGCATTCCTGCAACTGAATTGGTTCCTTTTCTTTTGGTCGTGAGCTGCTCAGCCTTTCTACTGCCATTATTGCCTGACCTCCAATTTTCTCTGTGGGGCTGAGAACTGCTCCTCCCAGGATGAAATAATTGGAATATGTGTAGCTAGATAACGACATACACAACTCTGCAGCAAATTGAAGGTCTTGTTCACTTATGCTAAAGCTGTCTGAATTCCCAGAAGAAAGTATTCTAAAAAAAAATGCAGTTGGCAATCATTGATTTTAAAGCAAAATGTGTTGTCCTGTTTAGTATAATAAATTACTTCAATTTGGTTAAAACAAACCCAATACTCAATTTTCTGAAGAAAATTTTGGCATTAAGAAAATATTTCCAGACATAGTTTTTAGGTAAAATTATGTGCTAATAGCTCAGAAATTGAATTCTCTGTCAATATATGCCTCTGAAAAGGTCACCCTGTGTCTCCCAGGAACTGCTGGATTGCTCCTGTAACGACTATTTTCTCGATAATGGGGAGATTCTCAGTGTGGGAAGGAGAAGCCGAAGAGCAGAAGGGCCGAAGAGAAGTTACCTGTAGCAACGTGCAGCTTGGAAAGGCAAGTAAAGGGCAATCCTGCAGCTCCTGGCTCAGACATGCTCACCAGTTAAGCAATTATATTACCTTGGACTTCTCTGGGTAGTGTTTTCTGCCAGCCCATCTGGCCTGGTCCTTAACTTCTCCTGCAAGTTTTCTATTTGCAGCTCTTCCACCTTCCCCAGAGTTGCTTCCCCATCACGTTTTCCTACTTTCTGGCTCTGCCTTTCCCCCAGCTTCTTCCCTATTATTGATCAAACAACAGCAGTCACTGAGAATTGCTGGGCAAGATCGTGCATTTTAATATCTGTTTTATGGGATTATTTGGGATGTTGTTAAAATCTGCCTTTAAAATATATTTAGTTTCAATCTGGTTTTAGTGGCCCTCCTGCTTATCCATACGTGAGTAATTCCTCTAACAGTTTTCAAATTCACTACCTTTTCAGCCTAATTCAGAGTGGGAGGCAAATGTATGTACCTGCTGGGAATTTAAAGAAGAATTATTCTTAATTCTGTGTGAAAGGGTAGTTTCAAGAAAACGTTTGCTCATTCCATTAAGTTACCATATTGTTCTTTTTCTGAGGATTCCATTAATCTGTATTTGTCATTTATACAGACAAGGAACAACTCTGAAAGTGAAGGCATTTATCTATTTATCTGTTGATGGAAAATCACCTAGCACAGTATTTCAGTTTGCCTCAATTTTTTTATTGAACTTGGAGATTTAGCTCAGACCCAGTTAATGAAACTACGAATATTGGAAAGCAGAGAGAGGGATATTGTTGCTGAAATGGTAAATTGTGGTTTAATTCAGTTTTAAGTTTCTATTTTTGTCATATTAGGTTAAATAAAGGGATTTAATGATGGGTATTCAATATTTTTTTCTTTTAGTAGCAGAGATGTGATCATCCCAGCCTGTTTAGCATTTGCCAGGTGGCACCTACAGTACATGCCCTTTAAGAGAACTTGTGCACGTGGTTTTCAACAGCATCCCTCTGGCACTTTGTGGTGATGTTCTCTTTTATACCAAATCCTAAAACTCAGTGACTGAAAAACAGATTTATGCATATTTTTCAGGTATCATAGAAAAGACTTGACTCTAGATTGGGGTTTTTTTGTGTGGCTTTTGGTTTCTTTTTTTTTCCCCTTTAGCTGACCTTTTGTTTTTGCCCGTGGAAAATCAATCTTATATAATGCATTGGGAAACTCTCTCTCTTAAGACTCCCTGCCTTTCACTTTGGGTTATCCTCTCAGCCAAATCCTGCAAGATTATAATTGATTTTAAAAGTCAGCAGCAAAAGTATTTGATCCTTAGGTGACAAACAGTCAAAGAGGAGCCCTCAGGATCAGTGTTAAACGTCAATGAAATGAGATTCATGCTAGGATAGGCAGGTTACAAAAATTTAAATCCTGCTGTAATAGTGACAGTAATAAATGGAAACTCAGCAAAATGAAGCTATTAGTCAACAGTGTGTAATGTCATAAACTTGAACAAATGATTACAGAGCAGCTCAGGCCTGAATTAAAACCAAACAAGCTGAAACAAGCAATATCATTGAGATGGATAAATAAATTTATTCGAGTGGATATAATGACACCTACATTAGAATAAAAGCCAAAGTTTTAGCTGATCTGTTTAAGCTAATTTGGACATCATCACTCAAAATGGGCAACAGCACCTGCATGCACTGCTACTAGAATCAGAATTTGGAATGCTGAACCCTGTCGTTGTTGGGTTTTTTTCTTCTGTGGTGCTTAGAGAATCTCTATAGAAAACTATAGAGAGCTTCATGATGTCCTCATGAAAACTATTGCAACTATTTAGCATGAAGAGCACCTAAAACAATACTGGTACACAGAATGGCAAGGCAACCTTAGCAAAGAGCGAGGTTGAATTAAATTGACCTGGCATTAAAGAGCACAAAGCAGCCTGAAGGCACTTGGCCGTAGGAAGGGTGTAGAGGATAAAACAACCAGAAAACTGCTTCCAGGGAGACAACCTTTCAGGGCACGTAATCTACATCCTGAGCCATAAGAAATACAAATAAGGAGAGAAAAAAACCAAATGGTTTCGGGGAAAAAAATAATAATTAAATGGTGTAGCGCACAGTGTTATGCTGCACTCTTACGTGCAGCTTGTTTTCAAACAATGCAAAACACTGTGTTGAGGGATCTTAACAATGACTATTGATACTCTAACAAGCTGCAATTTTTCTTGTAAGGTCAAGTGTTCCAAATTACACCTTTAACACCTTCAGCAAACGCAACAAAGAGTACTATCATGATTTTTCAGCAGCAAGAATGCTAAGTGAAAATACTGGAATAGTCCAACTATAATATACAAATAGAGTAAGAGATACTTGATGCTGAAATAACAAATTTTAAATTGTGCATAAAAATGAATTCCACCACTGAAGTCATGCAGAGTTTCGCTATTTTTGCATATATGTTAGCAGAAAATATACAATAATTTTCTTTCTTACAGGTTTAGAACAGCAGGTGACTTGTTAGCAGACCCAAGATGCTTCTGGAAGCAAAGCAGTGGTTCTGCGTGATTCATCAGACCTTTTGGATCACCATGTTGTAGGTTGAAAACATCTGTAAAAACAACCTGTGTTATTTCTTTGTGATCTGTGAGCCTCTGAAAATCTGGCTTCTTCAAAATGCTTATTTTTTAAGTGGAAAAATTGAGTTTTATTTCTCAGCCAAGACCTACTTAATTGGGATAGACCAGATTTCAGCTGATTTCGCTATTTTTTTTCCCTGGAAGTAGGAAACTGCATGCAGATCTTGCATATAGGTCCTCTTCTTTTAGCAAAGTCTCCAAAAATATAAATGCAGGTATAAAACTCAATCCAATGTGTTCAGGTGACAAGCAAAATAGAGGAGGAGTACCTGCGTAATACAGGAGTATAAAAACAAGTGTGAATTTAATTTGCATTCGAGGCTCAAATATTTAATCACCTCAGATGAAAAGTAGTGCACTCAATTTATTCCACTCGTGATTCACTCAATGGGTGTCTGTGAGGTACTTGATCTCCACCCTGGGTGTTGAAGGGCTCTGCCTTTATCCACAAAGCAGCATCAGTCCAATTCCAAGCCCTTCCTTAACAGTCCTTTTTCCAGTCTGAGAGAGCAGAGAATTGTCTTTGAGAAGTCAGTGGTCACAAGCATCCGTGGCTCCAAGCTCACATTATTCACATCAGTGGAAAGCCTTCTGCTATTGCTCAGAATGAGATGATTTTTAAATATTCTATCAGTGCTCTGAAACCTAGGCCTCCTCAGCCTTCTTCAAAGCCAGTGGAAGCTGGTTTTTTGACTTGAGGAAAGCTGGCTGGAATCAATGGCTTGAAGGTCTGTCTGCCCACACTCCTTTCCTTCCTTCCAGTCTGCATTCATGTGGTGGCTGTCCTATCTGTATCTCCAGGCAGCACAGGGAGGTAGGCACTCAACTCAGACACAAACACCAAGCCAAAATAAACTAAACAATTCCTATCCTCTTATCTAACATTTTCAAGCTTGTGAGATGTTTTAGAGGGCACCTTGGTGACTTTGAGCCAGCTGGTGCCCTTGTAGCACTCTGTCTTGGCCGTGTTTTCAGTCCTATTTCCAAGGGCTTTCTACTGTTTTTCCCCTGGTTGTATGAAAATCTGCTTGTTGCCTTGACAAATATTTGTTTCTGTGTAAGTAAACATCTGACATAAAATTGTCTCAGGATTCTATATGCAGATGACTGCTCTGCTACTGTTTACCAGAGTTCAAAACCTGGGCAAACAGCAATTTGTTTGGGCTGAGTAAGTAATACTTTATTTTACAGGGCACAAATAGCCATGTAATTATTTTGAATTAAGAAATTACCATATCATTTCAGGCTCATTACATGGGTATTTATTCTCAGCAGATTATATGCAGGCTGTTACAATAGTAACTAGTGTAACTTTTGTTTTGAAAGGGAAATAGGGTAGTAATGAAAGGAGGAACCTGCCTCTGGTGAGCTTGCAATCCTTAAAATGGCAGTGCCACCACGAAAGTGTGGAGCTCCATTTTCAACTGGAAAATAGTTGCTGTTGTTGCATAGTGTTTTAGTGAAGAAGCAACTAGCAGTAACGCACTCATTTATTTTTATTTACATATTTCTCACAAGGAAACCCAGGAGCTTTGGGAACCATAACTCAGGCAGAGGCTCTGAGAACAGCTTGCTGATTGCTGGCTCAGCTTGTTGTTCATTCCTACCTGGAAGTCAGGAATCTCAGCAGAGCCTCAAGGCTTGATTTCAGGGCTCAGGCTCTGAGCACCACTCCCTGAATTCCACAGATTGGTGTTTTTATGGAGTTAGTGCGAGCCACAAGATTTAGAATGATATGCATAGTTCCATCCATGGTTTTGATGTGAGGGATGGATTTTTTAATGGTAGTGGGCCAGGTGTGCAGCCCAGGCATCGCCACAGAGCTTTTCATGTGCCTGAGAAAGCAGCAGGAGGTGCTGGCAAAAATGACAGCTCTGGACATCCCATGTTGTCAAAGTACTGCAACAGAGCAGGTAAAAACATAGTCAAACTGGGTAATGATATGTATGACTTATGTATTCCTAGCAGAGAATAGGTAGTTGTAATTCCCTGAGGATCAGTCCTGGCATGGGTTAGGATATATCCATGTGTTTCAGCACCTCTAATAGAGCAGCAAGCTGGTTGTTAATGCAAATTCCCTTCTGTTTTCTCAGTGTCCGTCAAGCTTCTGTGCTGGACTGAACCGTGAGGGTCCTGCGTGTGTCCACCTTTCTGCCATGAGCCTCCCGCCTTACATTCATCCCAGGGAGCCTGACCATGGATAATGGGATCAACAACCTCTGAGGAACCTGAGCCAGTGGACATGGGAAGTCTTCAGGCCTCCATCACCTTCCAGCTTGTGCTATAGGACACTCACCTGGCCTGAGTCCTCCACTTCCCCAGTTCAGCTTCCTCTAACAAGAGTAAGATTGCTCTGGCTTTCCTTTCATGATTCTAAATGCTTATTTAATCTCTCTAATCTTCTTAGCACCAGCTGAAAAGACTAGCACACAAAAACGTGAAAAATATTTGTTGTGAGGTAGAAATTCACCTAGTCATAAAATAATTGCTTCTAAACTGTTAGTCATTCATGGCATGATTCTAATTGCATTATACTTAGGGGATCATAATGAAACAGACTTCCAAATTTACCCTGGAGCACTTCTTCTGCAGTATTGGATTGGAAAGCTGTAATTTGAATAAATGAAATGAGTAACCAAGGACAGAATTTCCCTCTCCCCAATATGTCTCATATAAAAAAAAAAAAAAAAGAAGGAAAAAAAGAAGAAAACTGTCTTGTTTAAGTAATTAGTGAGATCCTGACAAAATGCAGGAGGTGTGCAGTGGATATTTTGTCTCTCAGATGAAAACAAATTAAAAAAGACGATTTCTGTATAGACAAGCTAAGCTTGTTTTCGGGAGGGACAAATTCTTATTTTTGTATGATCAACTAAAGACAAAAGAGGCAGTGAGAGCAAAAATGTTCAAGAAAGCCTGACAATAACCTTGTTGTTAATTTTAGAAAGGGAGAGCCATAACATTGAGAAAGCCCTTAGGTGTGTCATACAGCTGTCAGACCTTGGGTCTGAGGCTGGAGGAGATAATGACTGTGTTTGCTGCTCAGTGCAAGAGAAACCAATAGAAGGGTTGAGGGATGGCAGTGTTTTGCTGTGATATGCAATAACAAGAAATTGCTAAATTCTACCTCAGCCCCTTCCCTGTTTTCTCCTCCACTCCCATGAGGTCACTCTGCCTGAGCTGCTTTCCTCAGCCACAGTTGCAGTTCCCTCAAATTCACACTTAGCTCCCTATCACAGAGTCAGGGCTTTGCTGCAAGTCACAACTCACTTCTTATTCCAATTCAGTGCACCTCCTTCTTTTGTCTTGTTCCTTTTAAAAACTGGCTTGATTTCAGTTAATTAATTCAGGTCAGTGCATTCCTTCCACAGATGGTTGGAACCAGACTCTTTTCCAAAGGCTTGGAGAGTGAGCATGTCCAGTGAGATTGGGCTGATGTTAAAAAGCAGAAGGTTGGCCAACTCACCTTAATGTGAGCTAATGAGGATAACACAACTACACATCTCAGACTGGTTTTTAGATAAAAGTCTTTTACTAACAGATCACCCCTATACATCTGAATATTGCCCTCGTGTTAGAAGATTTACCTCTGAAACAAAAGCTGCTTGTACATTTACCCCACCCTCACACTTACTGCTATATTTTCTTCCCTTTTCTAATTCCTCTTTTTCACCACTGGGAAGGAGAACCATTCTTTCTGTGTCCTTTTCTCGCCCCTGATAATTTACAGTGTTCTTAGAAAAGGTGCAGTGAAGATGAGCACTTTCAGAGTGACCCTTCACAGTATATATCAATAGATGGCAGTAGCTGAATCTCACTGGAAAGAACATACCTGTAAAAATGTCATAATTGGCTTTTTCTGTAAGACAAAAATGAATGCACACTTTATGGATTAAAAGAAATGCAAGTTATTTCATAAATCAGGGTCAAAGTACAATTTCCCTTTTTCATTCTCACAAGTTTTGGTAGCAAAAGTTGCTTTAAACAGCATCCAGTTTGCTGGAAGCCATAAATTGAAAGACTCCACAGGTTCAAAAACAGGATCAGAAACATGGATCTGTTCAAGTCCATGAATCTTTCCTTGGAACCGGGTTGGAGACTTGTTACTGATGACATGGCCATGACATTCACTTACAAAACAGACTGTCAATACCTGCACTATAATTTGGAGCCAGAAAGTCCTGCATCTCAGGTGGATGAGCTTGTTTTTGAAATTTCCCCAAATGTTTTCCTAATGCCAATCCAAATATTCTGTAGCACTCTTGTAAATACAATCTAATCTCATTATTTTGTAGTATCCTGTATGTGAACACATCTATTTTAATGTCTCCAGTTTACATGAAAGCAAAATTTCAAAGTACTCTGTAATCACCATTGTGATTACATGGTCCAAAAAGCTAGTCTGTTAATCAGTAACTCGAGTATCTGTAACACATTTTCAAGATGTTCATGTTTTTTATTTAATTTTCAAAAATTCGGAAGTCCCAGTCTCCTTCAGTGACAATTTATTCTTCTCCTTTCATGGCTCCTACTTATTTTCCTGTAGTACAAAATTTACAATTCGTTATTGTAATGCTGGAAAAGTTTTGACAAAATCAAAATCTGTTTTCACATATGTATTATACATCTTAAGTGAAAACTCATTTTGAAGCATCACATGGATTTTTAGATCACTTAGATTTTTCTCGTCAGAAGCAGAATGTCACCGAAATTAGCATAAGCCAGTAAATTAAAGCATATGGCTGCTGATGTATCAAAACTTCTTGATGGGAAAAACAGAGCCCTCTGGCAGAACATTTCTGAGCACTGTTATCATCTGAATTCCTGGATCTGTGGAAATATTTTGTGCTTATTTGCAAGCACAGTGGTTTTTTAAGTCTTGATCGTGATTATTAAAATTCTTTTGTTTATAATTCAAAGTTTTTTTGCTTCTCCCTTTCTGTAAGTGTTTAAGTGATGCTCCAGTAAGAAACATTCCGAACAGATATATTTTTGTGACATTTATTCTGTGAGCAGTTGGGGGAAATGCACTGCCTGATAATTGGCAAACCAATATTTTCAGATTTCTAGTTGAGTTCAGAGGATAGTAAAATGCTGGAAGCTTATGCTCAGTATTATCTAAGTTCTGTGAGCCTTGCATTAGCAAAACCATGTTGCAGTCTGAAAGAACCAATTTTTTTCATGATATGTAAAGTACGTTTTCTCTGGATAGAAAATGTGTGAGGGTAATTATTTTTGTGTGCTGTTATGAAACTGCTTACTTGTTGCTGTATTGGTTTAAAATGGTAACTTGATAATGATTAATAATTATTATTTCAGGCTTTGACCAGGTGTTCTTGTCCACTCCAGTCTCCAGGTCAGCCAGAATGCACCTGTATTGCATATATATCTACTTATACAATGATTTTTGCACTTCTCATTTTACTCCCTCTTTCTTTTACAAGCTAAAGCTACTAAGATAGATGGCTTCATGCTTCTGCATGCAAGCTAAATAGATGTAATTTTAATCCAAATGTGAATTTTACTTGCATATCTACAAGATGATACGGTACATTCAGTTTGAGCGAGATGCATTTTTGATGATGAAAAAGAATTTAAAATGGGAGAAGAATGTTACCCATCATTTTCCCCAAATCATGACACATGATTTCACTCAGACATCTGTCAGCCACACAGTAGTTCATTTTCCTGAATCAAACCTTAGAGAAGCTAAGGAACAATAACGTTGCTCAAAGAAAATTGAGCACCCGCTGGGCAAATGATATTATTGTTTTCAGCTGCGTGGAAGTCTAAATTCTCAACTGTTTTGACTGGCAGAGTCAACTGTTTGCAGAGGTGTGTCCCGGTGCCCCTTCCTCGCTCTCACAGTGGCACGGGCCGCAGTTTGTGTTCCCAGATAAAAGCCACGTTTGAAGTGACACCTGTGCTTTTCTCAGTTCTTTGAAAGTCCAAAGCTCAGATATGATCTTTCCTGAAATCACATTCGACCTGTACTGAAGTCTAAGGGAGGAAATGAAGAGATTTAGCTTAATAAGATTCATCTTTATCTGCTTGAGGTATCTGTCTGGAGCAGAGCCCGGGCCTGTGAGCTGCACCCGTTTCTCAGAGCAATGTGGAGTCACTCGATGCAAGTGACTCAGAGATCTGCTGTGAAGAATTAAGCAGGATTTTTTTTTCCCACAGACATTCCATGTAAGTAACAAAATCTATCCTTACTTAATATAAAGAGAAAAAATCCCCAAGCTGCTAGAGGAGAAGGTGGATTTCCAGGGATTAAAAAAAACCCAAACACACTTCATAATGGTGCTGAGCTTTAAAGAAAATTGCCTGATCCTTTTTTCTAAGATAACTGTTCTTTCAGTCATGGGGTTTGAGAAACCTTTTACTACAGTAAGAAATTCTCGTCCATATTTGGGACCATTCTCAAAAACGCATATTACATTATTCTAGTCTAAATTTTTTTGTTATTGCCAGTAAAAATAGGATTTCCTTATCATCAAGTGAATAATATTAACTGTACTGGCTAAGACTGTGGGGTGTAATGCTACATGCAGGAGTTTAAAAATGAAAACTGTCATTTAATTCCAAAATGCATGTTATTTCACATCATCAGGACTAAAAAAAGATTGCTTCTTTAAATGTAAATGCAAGTGTATGTAGTTCAAGGATCAAGGTGGTGCTGTAAGAGACACAGACACAATAATGTACATTTTATAAAAGTTTAAAGTTTTAACTGAAAAAAAACCAAAACCCAAACCCAAAATAAATGTCAATCTGTTTCTCTCTGTTCGTTGGTCACTTCACCCCTAGAAAATTAAATAGAGAAAAAAAAGGGGATAAACTTATAATACAGTGAGTTATCTTTACTTCACATCATCTATTTCCAATCTTGCTGTTCTTTTAGCTGTGGAGCTACAGATGGTGGTTTCACTGTGGAGTTCCCGAAAGCACCATGTAGATTCAAGCACCAGACCATCAGAATCCCAGCTGCTAGCTAACAACCCAGTCTTGATTTAATCTCATTTTTCCTGTTTCTAATTATTTTTCCTTCCACTAGAGTGGAAACAAGTTTAAAAGAAGAAATAAAAAAAAAGTATAAAAATATAGAAGAAACATAGATATTACTACCAACATTTTTTTATTCTCCTTGGCCTCCTACTCTGCTTGAGATTCACAGCTTCTATTTTGTGAGGATTATTGGGATGATGAATAAATGCTGTGAAGTTTATTTCACAGTCTTCAAGTCTGCTCTCGGAGTCATTTGGATTTGCAAACTTTCACAGTGCTTTGGCAGCGCTCCTTGATGTTTTTCTCCAAGACAGATACCCTTCCACAGCAGCATTATTTCAGTCTTTCCTTACACTCACGAGTGGTTACTAGGACAAAAACCTTAATAAGATCTATTGAGTTTGTCCTTATCCACTCGGTGCATTACTGGACTCATGAGAACTTTCTAGGTTCCAAACAGAGGATGAAAACCAGCCATTCTTGTACTCTCATCTCTGTCAAACAACTTGACCTAATTTCTGATGACTCTACTAAGATTTTGAAGCAACCTGCTCCTACTAGAAACCTCCATAGAGTAAATGCAATCTGAATTAAAAAGCTCAGAATAAATACACCAGGATCCTTCTTTCTTTCTCAAAACGCAGGTCATCCCTGGGAATTCTGCCTGATCTCTCTGGATAGTTCTGCACCAGACAGATCCAGAGGGCCCCTGAATCCAGAGATCCCAGGTGCAACCAGCTCTTTGTTAAGGTGAGATCTCCTTTCCTCTTGCTTCCCAGTTGTCCTTGGATGGGTGTCAACAAATCAAAGTATGCTTCAAGCATTTTCCTGATGTGGGGACAGGATCCTGGAGCATGCAGTGGGGGTTCTGCCAGTGAAATGCTGACTTCTCTCTTATCTTTCCTAGCATAAATTAGACCACTGGCTCAAAGATGACTTCTAGCAGTGCTTTAAACAATTTTAGCCAGACAGGTGATGTGAATATGTATTATTTACTGATGTTTTTTCCAGCTCAGTTTTTTGACCTCTCCCCAGATTGACCCGCTGTCACGCTTAATAACATCAGTATGCTTATTTTGCCTTCTGAAAATACATTTTGTTTATAATACAGATTCACAGAGATCCTGTGTTAGTACTGAGGGAGTTTTGCTATAGTGCTGGTTGTGTGCTGGGGTACCCAGAGGCTGTGGAAGCAGTCTAACATTATTGTTTCAATCCAAACAAATATGGTAAAGACATAAAGAAACCTTAAAAACACATTCATGTACATACTTTCTGCTAGAGACTTGAAACGGCAGCAAATCTAAAAAAAAATGTATCAAATGATGATTTTCTATTGTGATTAGTTGAAATATCAAAAGAAACCTGTGGCTTTTCAGCCTTTAATTAAACCATAGGTGCTTCTTTGTTTCTCCTTCCTACGTATGTTTTGCTTTTAACAAGGGTGGAAAGCCTAAAATGGTTCAGGGCTGTGCTTTGCCTCAGAAATGGCTCCGACCTGGCACTCTGAGGATGATGGCAAGCCTGTGGTTTGCTGTGAATTAGCTCAGTGCACTTGCTGGGACTGGGAATCATGTACTGTAACTAAGGCGATAGACCATTCCCGGGATTCATTCTGTGAGGTTCAGGGAGCCTCCTGCAAAGTGCTTGCTTTTAGTGCCTTTTGGAGAACTTCAAAGAACACCAGGTTTTGGGGGGGGGGAAATTTAGCAAAAGTACCCAACTCCTAATGCAAATGCATTGTTTCCTGTCAGCTTTGCTAAGTAGGGGCAGTGTGGTACAGCTCATTGCTGAAGAGGAAAACTCAGTTTTCCAGCAATACCCCTTGTATTTTTTTTCAGGCAGGGAAAGGATCTGTTTTCTGTTTCAGGTTTTAAAATATGATATGTAAGAAGGACTGCATTTCTTTTCTCAGGCTGCAAGAGTAAATACTATATATTACACCTAACTATTTATGCAGAGTCTAATGAATTTGCTGGATTCACCGGTATATTAAAAATGTAAAAATATTTATTTCTGAGATTTATTTAAAAAAATAATAAAAAAAATAGTTTAAAAAAGCATTCTGGAAGAGTTTTTGAGGCATGAGTTTTCTCCCTTGCGTTTCAGGTAGGGATGCTTCCTGGAGCTGTGAGCATAAGCTTGGCTCATCCCTTAACATCCATACTTGGATGGTAGCCCATATGGAGAAGAGTTTAGCTATCTGTGCTGCACAGTCCTTCACACAAGGAGGCTTTTCTGAGGGATTTGAGAGGGTAGTGAAGTGGGCAACACCAGTAGAAGAGTTTGGCAGGCTGAGGAGAAACATCCCAGCTGGGAGGCTGTAAGCACAAATAGCTGATCTCTCAGCTTTTCTTTTTACCTCTGCTTCTAAAGAGCAGCACGTGGTGTCTTAGGAAGCTTGAAGTGCACACCACTCTGCTGGACTCTGTAGTGTTTTTCATCCATCTTCAGGAAAACAAGAGCCAAGTGCCAGAGTGTTTTTGGGAGGCATCGCAGGATCCAAAGTTCGGGTTGCAGGTGAACAAACCACACTCTCCAAACGTGTGATTAGCCCTCATTCCATTCACTCTCAAGTGGAACCTTCCAAGACGTACAGCTGGTTTGTCCTTTGTTTTGTTTATTTTTTTCCCTCTCAGTTACAAACTCATGTAAAAGCTCAGGCTAATCTAGAGTGTAGCATGATTGAGGATTTTGCTTATTCATAACAATTTAGTAAGCTGTGCAAAGATAGTGCTATTTTAAAAGTTTTTAGATTGTATCTCTCCCTAAAGAGTAGAAAATGCAAATGGCTTAATACAATCAGCTGTATCTGCTTAGACTTGCTAAATCATGAGGAGTCATGGTGCAAAACAACACAGCTCTCTTCCAGGCAACATTCTAAATTTATGGTACAATGATGCCAGATGACAATGGAATTGCGAAGGAAGTGCTTAGTACCTCAAAAATTAATACCTAGCGAGTCCATTTTTTTATGGTGATGATTATAAGTATTCACTCTGTGTTTGAAAATAATCCTCTCAGAACAGCAGTTTACTAAATGTACTGGAGATTATTGAACAAAGTACAAGTTGAGGTCACGTTTGGGTTTTCATTGGGCAAATAACTATCATTTTCTTCTCACTCAAAAACAAAATTGCAATGTTGCAGGAGGCACTCAGGTTTGGTGGATACAAATGGGAAGTTGATACCTGTGCTCTGAGCAATTCAGAGCTACGCGGAGGAAAACAAGCACATCATACTTCTTAGTTATGAGAATAAGTGTATTATTTGACTTCAGGAGCTGTTACTTGAATGTGAAAACACTGACCAAACACACTAAGAGGTGGCAATGCTACTGAGTCCCATGCAGGGATGGACACCTGCCTTAGTGTAAATACTCACAGAGGTACAGAGATGATAAATAGGAGGGAGGGAGGAAGGAATTCAGCCTCTCCCAAACCTTTCCATTGTTCACTTCAAATAGAAGTTTCACAACCTCTGCTTTATGATCCATTTGTTATATTATGTACCTATTTTATTTGGAGTAACAAATCAGTTATAAACATTTATTTTTAGCAATGAATCACACTTCTGGGCACACTTAAGCAGAGCTCATGTATGGTCTGTCCGGTACTCTGCGTGCAGCTCTTTGCATCAGATGAAAAATGCACAACTTAATCAATTGTAACTGTAGCTATATACCAGGAGGGCTGTTTGATCTTAAATCTGAAGAAATCATCATGATTTTGTTTATTATTTCCAATTTCACAGTCTCACACAAAATGCAAGAGTTTATTTTAGCAGCAATCATAAAATTGAATAATTTGTTTCTAGACATACTCTTTGCTAATTCATGATGCAGTAAATTTTTTTTCAGTCAGTTTTGTGTCTTTTGCCACAGCTTCTCATATTTACATACAGACCCAGAGAAGCAACTATTAGAACTGGAAAAACGGTGGCAGAATCGTGGATGGCATATAGTGTACTTTGACTAATTAGGACGAAGTGCAATTTATTCCAAGTGCAAGGGAAGGATAAAGAGGGTCACTAACTGCATTGGTGTTAAACTGTGAATTTCACTCCTCACTTTTCGCCCCTCTGAAGTGGAATTTCTCCTGCCTGTGTTACTCGGGAGGTGATGTCAATGCAGTGTAGGACATTAACAAGACCAACCCTCTTAGCTTTGAGGTTTGACTTTTCCCCCCCTCCCCCAGCCTCCTCTTAATGATGTGACAGTTTGTTGCTGCAGGAGAGAGACAGAGCCGCATCTCTACTAAGTAAAGGTCAGACGCCCAGGGCTGCACAGGCTGCTGTGCTGATCAGAGCCGGGGAGAAAAGAGAGGAGTGATGGCTTCTCAGTGTTAAGAGTGGCCTCACAGAAGAAATGTATTTGAAATAACAATGGTTTGAAGCAGCATGTCACTAACCTCCAGTTCTGGATATTAAAAAAAAAAAAAAATCCCAAGCCCTTGAATATTTAATGATAGCTGAACAAACTTGGAGTGACCCAAGGAAGATGGAAAGTCACAGAAGTTAATGCTCCCAAAATACAGCAGAGCTCAGTAGTCCTTTAAAGCCATTAAAGAGCTTTTACCATCTGTTAAGTAATTACCTATCATCATTAGTTATTAGAAGCAGGAAATGATGTAAAGGGCACCAACACAGCAGAAAAAGAACAGCCAGATTCTTGTGGGTTTCTTGAATGAGGTCATTAAAACATGGTTATTAATACTGAAATAAAAATGAAAAACATTTATAGGCAATGTTGTAGCTGCTCTGTTTCAAAAAAGAAAGCACTGCATTTTTCCTGACAGTAAATATTTAGCTCAAGTCTTGCACTTGTTACTAGCATGAGATAAAATCTCCAAAAAACAACATAAGATGATGAAGATTTAAGGTTTCTGAATTCAATGCATTATAGCTCAGCTAAAACCAATTACGGAAAACTCAATTTGAGGATCATGACTTGGAACAGATTAAAACCAAGTAACCAAAAACCCCCAAAGCTGTGTGTGCTTTTAAGCTGCATGATTCTACATGCAAACATATGCGCACATTCTGACTTGTACACCAATATGGGCTTTGATTTCCCTAATTCTAATTTCTTTTTTTCACCCTTCTTAGTTAAAGTAGGTTCCCGAAAATGTATGTCTTTCTAGGCATTAGCTGCATATCTTTAAGCATTCTGCAAGAATTGAAGAATTGAAGAATTGAAGGACTCAGGTTGCACTGGGATCCTTGGGTATAGGTTTTGCAATTTTTTAGTTTTATTTCCTTCAGCAAGCTGATATATCTCACTGCAAGTTCATAATACACATTAGAGTTATACAAATGCATAAAAGCCCTGTTCTGGATGTGCTCTCAGTTGTTTTTCATGGAGTAGTTCAATTCTAAAAATGATGTGGTTTTCTTGTAAAGGAGGATAATTCTGTGTCAGTCAAGAAAACTCAGAAGGGTGAAGGTTGTTTTTGATGTATTTAAATTTGAATTTTGATAGCTGTACCTATTTCTTCTCAGGTTCTCTGCTGGAAAAGTCCTTGCAGACACATTATTTGGCCTCCTATAAAACTAAAAATGGTTTCAATGAGTGAAGTTGTTCCGGAGGCAGCTTGTGAGGGCTGAGTTTGCCTATACTGCAACAGAGTGAATGTTGAGAAAATACCTCTTCCTTGGCAAAATTGCTTGGCTGTTTGTGAAAAACCTAAAAAGCCCATAAGTGGCAAAGGATGAGCTGTGCCTGTGTCAAGGCACACAAAGGGCCTGTCCTGAACGTGTGCTTTGAGACCTCAGTGCTGAGAAACTGCCAGCAAATAGTGCCCAAGTGAGCGGCCTACCCTGGTCGGGTTAGTTGCACAAAAAGAATAGAAATAAAAGAAACTGTTGAACCATCTAGAAATCAAAGAGAAAGTCATGCCCAGGCTAACTGTGGTTTATGGCTGCAATAACAAGACAACTGTGTGAGAAATGGGCAAATATCATACATTAAAAAATGGGGAGTTTGGGAATTGCTATGGTGGATGATCAAGAAAGAAGTACAGTAAACATCAAAAAAGGGGAATTAGGACAGCAAAACCAGGGCCACTGGGGTAAGAGAACACAGGGTAAACTATGTAATGGGGAGACAAGGGATGAACATGGGAAGGGGAAAAGGTAATAAAAGGAGTAAAAACTGGTGCTGCTCCAGGGCTCCTTTCAACAGCCCCATGCCTGATCAATGCACTCGTTCCCACCATAAGCCTGTCTGACTTTCTCTCCCATCCAGAAGGGGGATGGTGCATCTTCCCTGGCCTTGTGGGATCCCCATGAGCTCATCCCAGCATCGAGCATGGATGGGAGCAACTCAGGGAACACAGCATCACCTTCCCTTCACGACCCTCTGCATGAGGCTGCTGGATCTGTGGCTGCAGACATTGAAGGACTGCAATGTCTCTGTGTGTATGTATGGCCTTCTTTCTTTCTAGGGCTCTATTGCAAAATCTACTGAATAATATTGAATTACTTTGCTTCTTGGAGTAATTTTTCCCTGTGCAATTTCTTTTTAATATGTGCAGTATGCCATATATAAAATGCACCACATATTTTAAAAAAAAACAAACACAATTTTATTTTGATTTTGGCAGCTGAAAGTCTAAACATTTAGGTAAAGAACAGAGGCATTAGGTTTGTGCTGCCAAAATCTTACTCATAAGGTACCTTATCCCATTATTTTTTCCATCTGTTTTGTCTCTTAGAGATTATTGCAGCAGCTTAAGAGTTTGATTTGTTTCCACCAAGGCATAGGAAGAGAATCTGTGAAGAGTCAGAACTGCTTAAAACCACAGTCTTAACTGCTGAAATATTCTGTTTATGAAAATACTTTCTGAATTTATGTTCAAAATCCTCTGCCTGATTTGCTGAATGAGGAGGAAGAGAGAGCAGGGGATTTTTCTCTGTCAGGTCTCCGCAAGCACGGCTGTGTTGAATATTTAAATACAGCATTTGCTGTCGGTGCATATTGTTATACACTTTTTTTGGGGGAACAACAATCTCTGGAAGATTACGTTTGCCTTTTCATTAGAGTAAAAACAAAAATATCAGACAAGCACTGAGTTATATTTTAATGTAAGTTGACGTTATGTTCTGTTTTAATCAAAAATTGTTTGGGAGTATCTCTCCCCTTTGTTGCTTCAAACCCAAGCAGCAGTTTTGGTAGGGACAGTGTGTTGTCTGGTTGATGGTGGTGGTAAAGAAACTTGGAACAAAGACAATATTTGCAAAAGTGAGTACCATTTAATCTGTATTCAGACACCTGACTAAGAGCTGGACTGCACAGTCCTTGAGTACCCAAGGCCCTTCTGCAGAAGCAACTTCATTCTGCCGAATTGTTCTGTCTATGTGGACAGCTTCATCTGCTCTCAAACTCCCCCTGCACCTGAAACATGTCTCCAGTCCATAAATAACAGTGTCTTGCTGGCACTGAGCCTCGGTCCTGGCAGCTGATTTATGGACCTTCAGGAAGAGCGGGCCAGCCCTTGAGGCCAGAGACTCACCCCTCCATATTTTAACATCCAGGAGGATGTAAGGGTGGCAAAGCTGAAACACTGACCTTCTCATGCATTGCAATATACCATATATCAGGTAGTGCAATCGTTGGGTTAATGCTGGAAAAGCAGCTACCAGTAGAAGGTTTACTGTGAAATAAGCAGAAGTTTAGCATGCCTGAAAATGGAAAGGGAGCTCAAGAACTGTGTCACAGCCTTTGTTCACTGTGATCTGAAAAATTGTGTAAAAATAATTTTGGTTTGGGTTTTTGTTTGGCTTTTTTTATTTCTCCCTAGAAAAATGGAGACAGGTTACCTGAGCAATGGTTGAGGAGAGGACTGCAACCAGGGCATCTCAATGGCATTTGAAGGTAACAAAATGTCTGTGGGGTGAGTAAATCTGTGTATTGGTACCAGCACCAAGTCCCTTGATGCATTCTCAGTAAGTTAGAAGTTGCAGCATGTCGAAAGCTGTGACAAAGAAGGTGTGACAGTTGAAAAGAAAATATCAAAAATAAAGTAAAATAAATCTTTGAACAAGCTGAACTCTAAATAATTAAAACTCGCAAAAAGTGTAAGAAGTGAAGCAGAAATAATTGTTGGTGCTAATATTTAAAAGCTATGAAATGCCTGCATGTGCCCAGGCATCATTTTCTTTTCTAAGATGTCAGATTTTACATGACAGAAAGTTATCACCCCCAGACTGGTATTTTTGGAACTGCTCAGTGTCTAGTCAGTTAGTGAGAGTAGTTAACAATTGCAAGCCTCATGCCTGGAAATAAAATCAACGTGAGTGTTCCTGCTGTTGGCTGAGTTGGGCTGGGGGTGGGCAAGTTGGTGGTGGACAGTGATGGGACCTTCAGTGCCCAGCAGATGCCCACTTTACCCACTGCAATATGCTTTTAATCATAGCTTGCTTTCTATCCCTACTAGCAAGGATTTGGGTGGGTCAGCTGGAACACAGAAACCCAAACAGTAAGTGGTACCCTGGATCTTAACCTAGAGGCATAACAGCCATTTCACTCTATAAATCTATAAATATTGCTACAAGCCTTTTGTTGTAACGTTGCTGGAAGAGCTTTTATTTTCATATTGCAAAAATAGGAAGAAAGCGTTGGGTTAAGACGATGCTGTAGCCAGCAGGAACAAGGGAGAGTAGCGGCGCTCTGTGACAGCAGAAATAAAAGCACAAGCAGGGAACCACACTGCAAACCATACCCACCAGGAACTACTAAAAATCAGGAGCTGCCCCATGCAGGCTGGAGAGCTGCCACCCGTGGAGAGAGAGAACCCTGGAGCTGCACAGGGCACAGCTGTGGAGGGCAAGCTGGGGAGTCACGCTGTGCTTGTGAGGGAAGGAGAGCTGGGGGAGCAGGGGATGAAGTTTCTAAGCATTGCAATTTTGCTGTGATTTGTTCAGGATGGGCTGCTCACCCGTGAAGCAGGAGATAGCTGCTTTTTTCCTGCTTTTTATTTCTTTTCTTACTTTTTTGTTTTTCTTCTCTATTGCTGCAGAGCTTTTGTCAGGTCGGTGAGTTGAAACATCCTCCAGCAGGGTCAGACAGGAGGTACAGACAGCCCAAAAAGGGCTTTTCAGAGAGGGACATGGGAGAGGCACAAAGAGGGAACAGGGAATGGGAGAAGCTGCGAATCTGGTGTGTCCCAGCTTGAGCCCCTTCCTCCTGAGCCTGGTGCTGCAGAGGCTGTGTGGGTGGTCCTGGAGCTGAGGCCTCCAGGTCCTGCTGTGGGTGTCGATGGCCTCAAAGCTGTCAAAGTTGTGAGCACGGCAGGTCCACTTGGCATCCACAGCTCCCATCCCAAATAGGTGTGCTTGAACACTTTCCAACCACTGTTAAGAGAGGGCCAGTGGAGACAGACTGTGCAGTATCTACCATGATTGCAGTGACTGCTCTGGTAGCTGTGTGTTCCTCTGCTTGTTAATCCCCACTGTCCTCACTGTTGATTTAAATACCTTTATGTGGCATTTGCAGACTAATGGAGCACGGGGACCCAGAAGGAGCCTCTGAAAGGTTGTCTGATATGATCCACATAAATCAGAGCCCATTCATCCTTGCACATGATCCCCTGCCTGCGTAGACGTGGCTTCTGCAGCAAAAAATAGAGATAAGTAGCAAAAGCTGCTCAAGGAGAAGCCTCATTGTACGTGTTATGACAGTCGGGAGAGGGATTAATCCTGGCAGTGTTTCCTTGTATTTGTTAAGGTGGATGATACACAGTGACAATGGCAGCTGCTCCTTTCCACAGCGCTGCTGAGGAAACCTTACCTGCATGTTCCTTCAGAGGTGCATAAAGCATCATTCCTAGCTCACAGGGGTGATCAAGCCCACAGCTGACAAACACTCCTGTGGCACCACACATAAACATAGCACCTTATTAGCTCACATTTTGAAGACTCTTCTCTGGAGGAATGTAAAGGCTGTGAGTGTCATGGTCTGAGAGCAGCACAGGCACATCCCCTTCCATGTTCATGGATCAACAGCCTTTCCTGGAGTACGTAGCTAAGCCCTTTCTCTATACTTTTGTTTTCATAATCTGCAGAGAAAGAGCAAGGCTTTTTTCCTGCCTCACTGAGTGTGTTGGTTTAGTGCCTGTGTGTAGTTTAGCTAAGGCAAAAGAGAGTTGGTACCACTCAGAACAGCACTCTAATGTTGGGCTACTTGAGGAAAAAGTGTTTCTCAATCACTCCTTTTGAACCCACTGCATTTAACATAGAAGTGCTAAACATGAGTGGAATGAGTGGAAAGGAATAAAGAGCTTTGATTTCTCAATGCTGGTGATGAATGGTGGTGGTGATGGGAACTCTGGGATAATTGTATCTATGCTGGGGATTTTTTTTTCCTTCCTTTTTTTTTTCCCTTTCTTTCTTTCATCCCATAATTGAACAAGCTGCTAAAAGAACCTTAGGATTAAATATTGAACAAGATGATTCCTGAGTAACTGTTGCAGCTAATGCACCAGAGAGTTGTCCAAGTTTTTGCTACACTTGTGTGGTTTAGGGATAGGGATTTGACCCTCCTGCCTGTAAACACACAGCTATGAGGAACAGCTGGAAGGATGGAGAGGCACTTTACCTGCACATCAAGCTGGTAACCCTTTCTGGATTGCACAGATGCCCCTGGGAGGAGCGTGTGAAGCTGTTTAGTTCTCCCTGCAGAGGGGATTCCCCAGGAACAGACAGTCCTACAGCATTCACTACCTGAAGCTGACTTACCATCAACAAAAGCTAAGAGAGGAAAAGAAACACAGTAAGTGATCTAAAGAGACAACCATGCTGTGATGGAAAAAGCCTTTAAAAGTAATTACATAAAAAGCATGAGCTTCTATGCAGAGTTAGGGTCCCTGAATGGAGTAATTAAAAAGGAGCATGCATTTTCTGTTAGAAATCTATCAGAAGTAAAACCAAAATGTAATCAGATTCAGCTTCTAGATGGAAACTTTCTTCACTTCACAGAATAACTAAAAGAAGGTGAATAACAAACACCAACAATTCCCATCGCTGTCATCAATATTGAAGTACTTCACTGAAACAAAATGTTACGAAGGAAGTTGGGAATGGACATTTAAAGACTTAAAATTTACTGAATTTTCTCCCCAATTTGATTGTAAGTAACCATACCCTCATTTAGTGCAGCATGTGAAGTGTCTGAGCAGCCCAAGGAGCAGGACAGTGCTTCAAACACAGGCTGTGCTGCTTCAGCTACTGCCAAGGGAAGGCGTTGGGCTTGTCAGGGTAGTTTGTATGTAAATTGAGTGAGGTTATTTGTGTTTCAGTGTTACTCAGAAGTTAAGCAGCCCTTTTAGAAGGAAATTTTAGTCAAATCAACACATGCATTCCACCCTCCTCCCAATGGGAAAGCAATTAAGAAAGCGAGCAGAGCATTCCCAAACAGCACTGCTTAACAAACAGGTCTGAAGTGTTTGCTTTTTTTTAATCTAATAATGGTACTGACTGGATGACTCTTTTGTCTTTGTATTTCACTCCCTCATGGTTTAAGCATAGACAATAGTTTATGAATCTCCTGTTTTGTAACAGTTCATGAGAGTGTTGCTATTGTTATTTTTTTCATGTTGCATAGTGGGAAAAGAGGCAGAAGATAACTTATTTGCCTGTTCATATCTTACATATTCTCAAGAGCTCGATGAGAAATAAAAAGTTCCAGAAATACAAATGTAAAATTGTAAGTGTTGCTTAGCAGGATCTTTCCTACCTAATTTTCTGAATAGCCAATCTGATTGCACCTCCAAGATGAGGGCTGTTATAGGTTGGATTTTGTTACTTCAGTTAGATTGTGTTCGGTCTGGATACTGAAATGCCTGGTTGAAATTCCGTGGCTTGTGTTATACAGGAAGGCAGGAGAGCAGGTCTTAGCAGTTCCCTAAGCTCTTGAGAGGCATTTTGAGGATCTGTCACTCAGATTGGGAATCAGGCTCCCAGAGGATGAGAAGCCCACAAACAGTTGTCTTTTTTGATTTTTTTTTCTCAATGTGTAATTTAGCATCACGTGAAAGATCTGTTGCAGAGCATGAATCTTATTCTCCAGGGCAGCTGTGATTGTCTCTCTGCAGTTCTCTCTCCTACGCACTTTGGAACTCTTTTGTGTAAGAGGTGAGCTCTTGTAGCTGGGAAGTTAACTTCTACCCAGGGTTGATATTCCATTGAAACACTACCTATGACAAGAGAAGAAAGGGAGCTTACACTATGCACAAAACCAAACTCCATAAATCTAATGAAACTTTAAAAAAGTGATGTCTGCCTTATTCTAAGATACGGTTTGAAAAATCACTGTGTAAGTCAAATGAGTCACACCTGGTTGAGGTTTTCAGGGGAATCCTTATTTAATGTTTTCATATGCTGTGGAGTTGTGTGGTAATAGGTGAATTTATCATCATATTAGCTATTGTGGTTGTTACACTAACCATTACTTCCCCATCACCCTTTCTCTCCAGTTCCCAAAAGAAATGCCATTATCTAATGCCCTTTTTTCTCCAACTAGGTTGGTGAAGTTCAGTGCTGAGTTCTGCAGGATTGACTTGGAAATGCTTCCTTTTGACTTTGATGCCTGATTACTTGGAGAGCCCAACAACAGCATGGATTTAAGAATCTGCCTTGGTAAGTACCTTTGACTGTCACTGTTACTAAGATGCTCTAACTTGGATAATTTCATTTGTGTCCCTTTGTAAAAACAGGTTTGTTTTTCAGGCCTTTTGCCCCTTGAGACCTCAGTGATGTGAATGTGAGCAGTGCTCTGCGCATTTATGCATGCTCGTGTCCTGGAGCCTAGAAGCACAATTTCCCGTAAACATTTCCAAGTTTGGAACAAAAACAGGTTTTCACATTAAAAGCTCCTTTTTATGTTTGCAAGAAAGCTGTGTGTGAGCTGGATGTGCTCAGGCAAGTGCACTTCATTAGGTAATTCTGCTCTCAGCTGTGTGCTCATGAACCATTCCCCGTTTAACCTCAGAGAAGGATGTGCATGTGTGAAGTCAGTGAGCTCTTGCAGTCCTAAGAGTCATCCTTTTGGAAAGCATTAACAACTACAATAACAGAGATAATATTTTTAAAGCTGCTTCCTGAGGTTAACAGCTAAAGGCCATCTGAGATCCCTGCTCCATTTTCCATTATATCATATTTAAAAGAGTGGTGTGGTATCCAGCCCCCTTGGAGAGATGTGTGCCAACCACAATAACCACAGCTGTTAAGTTTGTCAGGGAACTTTTTGTCAGCAATAAAATTATCCAAATATCGGGAAAGGCATCATATGGGCACCCAGTACAGGTACTCAGTGTAGATAAGTTTGTAGTCATAACAGCACAATAATAAACCAATAGTAAGGTTGTTATTCCTCCTCCTCTCTTCCACTCCCCACCCCTCAATAAAAAAAAAACAAACCAGTCCTCAACTTTTCTTAAGTTTTCTGGTTTTTTCTTATTTTCAGTGATTACCTGTGGCATGACTTGAATTCAGCAAGAACTGCTTGCTTGTGCTACATGTCTTCAGGTAGGATTGACTGGCTCAGTTATCCTGCTTTATGTGACTGCTTAAGAGAAGACTACAGCCAGTCTCATCTGCAAAATGAAGCTCAAATTCTGCATTTATTCTGGCCCTGTATTGACTGCAGGTATGGCTTTGTTTGCAGCCTGGCACTTGGAAGTGCTGTTGCAGTTCCCTGGCTTCACATCATCAGTTCTAAGCTTTCATCCTGCCTGGAATAGAAATGTTATCATATCTAATGGGAACTATATTTTAGCAGTAAATAACAGAAAGGGAAGACATCCTGGGTATCCCTTCCACTGTTTTTCAGACCAGTATTCAGCACACTAAAGGCAGGGGTCATTGTGTGAGCTTCCCTCCAACTCCTGTGTTTAGGCAAGGTAGGCTGGGCTAATGGTTTATAGCAAATAGCAGTAAGTTTCTAGACTAAAGGAGGAACACAACAGGTAGTATGTGTGTCATTGGAAATTGTGTCACTGCTGGAGGGTGGCCAGCCAGTCTGCTTTTATTTTTATATGCTGATATAAATTTACAATGCCAATGATTTGGCTTTTGTCTGTTTAAAAGATGGCTGTAGTCTAAAGAAGAACCAATTCCAGTGACCTTTTAAAACTGCAGGTTATCTTTAGCCTGCTGAAAATAAGTCCACTCTTTGAAAATGCAGAGTTATTGTCTTCACACAGAACACAAAACATAAGAGCATAAAAAATCCAACCCCGTATTCATCATCTTATTCTGTGGGAGTTATTCTTGAGCATGCAAGACCCCACACATTATTCCTATGGGTGCTTACATCTGACAGTCTCTTTTGTAATATGTCTGGTGTTACAATTCTTCTCTTTTTAATAATGACCTGCTTTTATTCAGAAATAGTTGAGCTACAGCAGCCCCATCTATTTTAGATAACAAAGACTGCTTTTTAAAGCTGAACTGTGTGAATGCTTTTTAAACTCCTCTTTTATAAAGAGAAATCTGATATTCTTAAAAACTTTAGGTTGTACATTTGCTATAACAAACCACTTGCAGCTGATGCGTTGGGGGGGTTCTTATTTTTTTTAATAAATTGTTTTCCAAATAAATAGCAAAATTCCCCATGGACACTAGGGTAGTGCTAAACATCTGGCTTGTCTCTGTAGACTGCACCATTGGAACCCAAAATACCTGGTTCAGTGCTGTGCCTGTCTCCCAGCTATATTCAAAACATCAGCTTTTCTTGGAGAACATTTGGTAAAAGCTTCCTTCATTGCTTTAGGCCAATTCCCGTGTGGATATTACTCCTTCAGACCAATGTGAAATTATTCAGATTACAAAAAAGTGAAGTTGTCAACATTTGTTTGCAGAACAAAATGCTGCATTGCAATAACAAGTGTGGAACAAGGAAAATTCCAACAGCACATAATACATTGTAGTTCTGATTTTCCCTTCACATTTCTAGCTTTAATATTCTCTGGTCTGGAAGACTAATTGTTTTTTAATAAGAAAAAGTTTTTATGTTACTGAATTCAATGAACAGTTCTCTCCTACCTAAGCAGACAAATGCCCGTCATGTAACTACGAAACACAGCCTATATATAACTAAGATCTTGATTTCTGTCCACATTTCGACAGCTTTTTGTCAATATGATTTGGTAAAGAAAAGTGAGAGAACAGAGTTTCTAATGATAAGGTGGAGCTATTGGAGGGGAGAGGGAAAGCCAATCAACTACCTTTTTTCTTACATTTGCAAGTTTTTTTGTTAATATTACAAGGTTAAAGCTTTTTCATGACCACATTCCTCAGACAATCTCCTTTGTGCCTTCAGGATGTTTTTGCCCTACTCCAGGGCTAGAGACCCTTCCGTGTGCATCATTCCACCACCTACCAAAATCCAACTGGATGTGCTTCTGGGGTGGGGAGGGCTTCTGAAATCAGCTTTACCATTAATCAAAGACATGATGCTTTTTTTTTTTGCTCTATCAGATTAATTGCATGAAAAGGCACATGCACTAAATTGCCCCTGACACTGACCTGGTTAACAAGTGCCAGGGATATCTCATTTCATCTGTGGTTAAAGGGAAGCTCGTGTGTCATTTTATAGAAAACGTGGATTCTGTAAGTTATAAACCCAACAGCAAACATTATCTACAGCAATAGGACCTTTCAAAACCTTCTGAGAGAGACTCGCTGGATTACGAATTTTCTGCAGTTGCATCGTCTCTGGTTCAATCACACAGATTAATGTGATCCATTGCTCTTATCTGCACCGATTTTATTGCATTATATGTATGTCATGAACATGGTTTGTGGTTGAAAAGGGAACTGTACTGCCACTGTATGAGAGTGAAAAAGCATAATTAAGAGACAAGTCATGAACATCCTTTATTATGGTCTAACAGCCATGCTAATAGTCTCGCTTTACATTTATGTGTAAAAGGTACTTCAAGAGGCAATGCCTTATGAAATAAATTTAATTTTGACATTAGGATGCTGTTATAACTTACATAGCCTGCAGATTACTTTAGATGGTTGTCTGCCATATAGCTCAACTTTGAGACACAGATAGAACCTTGACTGGAATCTTGACTGGGGTCTAACTTTTAGTACCTGGTCAAACAATATTTTTCCACTTAAAGAGCTTTTCACCTTTGTTTGCAGTGGGAGTATTATCATTATATAAATGGAGACAAGAGGTTTTCACCCAGATTATACATGTGCAAAAAAAACATACATTAAGCTAGAACATCCACTTCCTGAAAATATGGCACAGGAGAAGGGAGAGAACTGTTGTAGGTGTGAACCTCACACCTGCATTTTGGAAAGGCACATTCTACCTGTCCTTCCATCCATCTGTTCATCACCCAAGGAATCCTGAGAGCTTTTTTGCTTTGCTTCCTGTGCCTATGGAAACAGGAAAACTAAAGAAAGATGAACGACTTCTGTGTGAAATTTCCTTCCAGGGAACTAACTGCAAATTGCAGTGGTTATTAATACGAGTGATTCAAGTCTAATCAGGGAAAAGTAAGTAAAAACATTTACTTTGCATCCTACAATCTATGTTGGGGCTGGAAAACAAGAACTCTTTTTCTTTTTTTGGCACTTGTTTTCATTTTCTTGACTTTGTTGTTTGTTTATAGAAAATAATGGAAAAAGGGAAGCCATCTCAGGAAGGAGAAAAACTCGCTTGTCACCTGGGATAAGGAGAATCAAAGGTGAGGTCCAGGGTGAAAAATGGGCAGAGAAAGGGCTCCCATGTTTGAGATAGGTGCATCTACAGGGCATATATGTGATGTGGGCTGTTGCTGTCTTAGGTTTTTAGCTGGGAGTTCCCCTTGTGGGTAGAGCTTTACTCCTGACCCCTCGTGGTTCTGGATGTTCAGTGTCAAATTGGCCAGTGTACTCCATTTCCTGTGTTAATATAGGTCTTTTCTTTGTTTAAATCATGCCTTATGCCAGTGGGAGAAATTGAATACACAAAGTCATCCATATTCCACATCCAAAATGATTTTGGGCAACCGGGTTCACTGCTTTCATTTAAGCAGCAATTTTATTTAACAGATGGAAAATAAAATGAGGAAAGTACAATTTCCAGTAAGATTCTGCTGAACTTTGAACAGGAATGAAAGGACAAATTGTGATATTCTTATTCTTGCCAGAAGTTATCTTGCTCCACACCATAAGATACTATGTAGTGCACGTGAAGCTTCGTGTTCTGATACAGCACTGATTGACTTGTTCAGTTTGGAAGTCAGATTGAGAAAACCTATGTACTGATCCTACCATGAAATACTTCATTACCTTGTAATAGGCAATATATTCACACTGTTGTTTTCTGTAGAATAGATATATATTTTAAACAGCATTCACCTTTAGCTTGTATTTTGCTAATGTTGTGTACTTCTTTATTTTCTATGCCTTTCTTATTGACTCACCAAGATTAGCAGTGCAGATATTTAGCAAGCTTCCCTTCCAACAGTGCTTTATATTTATTTAGGAGTTTTTACTTTGTAACCAGTCAGTCTGGGATTCTGATGAGCTGCGTCAGAGGCTCACCATGCCAGATCCTGTCTTCGTGACACTTTTGGAACTGGTGCACTCCAGAAATAATAGTGAGGAGTTAAAAATGCTATCCAAGAAGACTCTGTAACAGGCAGCTACCTAAAGAGAGTGCAATCTTCATTAATACAAAAAGTAACAGCATTTATTAAATGTGAGAAAAACTGGAAGGTGACTATACTTTGTATTTGATGCAGATAATTATGTATATTATTTTGATAGAGCAGCTTTGACAAGCTCCTCAGATGGTTTAAACAGAATCGTTACATGCACATCTGACTCTGTTACTGTTAAGAGGCTCAGTTGATTTATTAGTGCAGTATTGCCTTACACTTGGTTTATTCTTTGGACATGTTTCCGGAGGGTTTAGTTTCACAGTCTCTTGGGCATGGCATTTTGTTGACTAGCCATCATCTAAACTTGGCCAAGAGCAATCAGATGAGCTTTCCGCCCAAGCTCTGTAAGCTACATCTGTTCTCAATAATTGACAGCACAGTAATCCTCCCCCAAAACTCCTCCTTGGGGCATGTTGTATCCTCACTTGCCCTGCAAATTCATCAGTTGCTTGGCTCTGCAGATCAGTCACCTGCCTTGTGCACTATTTCAGCTAAACTTCCAGTGCTGTGGACGAGGATATGTGTTGGAGAGGAAGAGGTGGCATCACGAGCAACAGGAAAACAAGGCTGTGAATATCAGGGAGCATTTGGCAGTACCAAGAGGGTGCAGCTCAGATGATACAGGCCCATAGCAGTTGCCCTGTTCTTCCCATTGAAGTGGAAGCATTTGGATTTCAGCTGGTCACATTTTCTGTACAGCATTTACACCATCGTGGAGTTCACGCCCCTCAAGAGGGCCTTAGATGAAACTGCAGAGATTCAGTCATATTTTCTGGTTTTACTACCATGAGACTTAGCCTAAGGAAGAGAAAAGGAAGTGGGTCACAGGGGAGCAGAAAAGGCCGTGACTCTTGCTGAAAACTGCTCAGCAATAATGAAAACATCCCCAAATTATCAGCACTGTTTCCAGCGCAAATCCAAAACACAGCCCCATAGCAGCTAATGGGAAGGAAATGAAGGACCCCAGCCCAAAGCAGCACACTGAGGTGTTTGCATTGTCTCTTTCTACTTTTAATAATAGCTTTTTATGTGACAGTGTGATGGCTGAAAAGCAACCTGATGCAGCAGCTACATAAATTTGGAAAACTCTTCTTGAAATCTCTGGTATAACCCGTGTACTATAGTGTGTCCAAATGGATTTAGTGTATCATAACACTCCTAGAAAAACAAAGGGACAAAGAAGATGGGATTGCTAAGGGAGACATTAGATTTCATTTCACACTGGTAATAGTTTAGAGACGTGTGCTGAGCAAAATGTGATTCAATTCTGCGGCACTTTTCTTTTTTATTGCTGCTAAGTGATTTCAATATCCAGTCTAAAGTGATACTGAGAGTGTTCGATAGAACGGGGATGAAATCAGGGAGCGCTGGAGGCTCAGAGGAGGCCACAAATCTCAGGTTGACTCGATGAAGCCTTTCGGAGCCATCCCCACCTGACCTTAACCCATCTTATTTAACCTGGAGGCTGCTGGTAAGTACCTTGCAATGTAAGATATGGTCTGGTGTTAAAGGGAACTATGTGGCTAGATTGAATTTTGGACATCAATTGATGCTACATAGTTATGGCTTTGGCCGTGAACTTACTGCTTTCAGAAACATTTATGGCTAAAAGTTTATTGCCCAGCTGTTGGCTGCCTGATAGACATATCATAACTAGGAAATGGTTTAAACCCTGTAACCTTTCAATTTATGGCAGTTGAAAGCAGATGGAGATTGCTACACAAACAGGGAGGAATACCTGTAGTCGATGGTCACAAACATGGCACTTGGGGGCTGCTTCTCAAAGCTAAGGAGCTCCTTTCAGCTTCTGATAAACACGCAGCTAGAAAAGGTGAGTGTTGTTATTTGTTCTACATCTTTTGCATTATTGATGATTGGAGTAATTTCTCAGTTTCTTGAATTTTAACTCAACTGTTAAAAATGTGCTTTGTGTACCACAGTGTACAGTGTAGGATACTAAATCAGATGATAATGGTAGGAGCCTGAGGGGCACAGGAGGAACCATTGAGAATCTGTATTTTGGCTTCTGCAGGTTTTGGGCATAGAACTGAGGAAGTGTGAAATGAGGGCAATGCAGAAAAATACATCAGAGAAAGGCAGTCGCTCAGTAGGTGCCCACATTAGTGAGAGTTTCAAAAATCTTTTTGTTTTCAATGTAACGGGGTTACACAGAAAAACAAGTTTATTTTCTGCAAGAAAAGGCTCAGGAGCTACACTGTATTGTCCTCGCTATGCTTTTGGAATCCTTTATATTTCCAGGCATCATCTCATTTTCTCTAACAAAATACTGAGTTGCTGATAAAGTGCCATGAAATTTAAAAAACAAAACAAAAGCAACCAACCTTTGAAAGGATTTTAAATTCATGTCTTGCAGTTAAACAACCTTGGCTTTTTTTCTGGAATGGCTCCTAACTTATGTGTTAGCATGGAATATTTTGTTCAGTTTCTGTGGAGTTCTTTGAGAGCAAACTCCTGCTTTTGGTCTTTAGCTGCACAATATTTTGGTTTAAAACTGGTAAGAGTAAATAACCCCCAAAGCCAGCCGTGGTTTGGTAAAACCTCCCTAGGGCTTTATTTAGTCCATGTGCTGTGTTTCCATTTGAATGCGTAAATGGTGCTGTCACTTGACTTGATCTGCGAGGCCTTGCGAGAAGGAAAAGTGAGCTCTCAGCACTTCCTCCATTAAAAATGCCCTCAGCAGCACGGTGTAATTTTGGCTAGACAGCCACTTAGCTTTCAACAAGTTTGCTTTTAAGAACCTTGACTGAGGAGGCAGCTGTGCCCTCGTGTCTGTTCCTGGCGCTCCTGAAAGGCGTGTCAGGGGCTGGCAGGGGAGCAGGGCATTCCCGCTTATCCTGCCTTCCCCACCAAACAGCTCCTGGGCACGGAGGAGCCGGAGCCATTTATACTGGTTTCCCACTAGGCCCTTATGTAACCTGACAGCTCTGGCAGCAGACATGGCTTCTGCACAGTCATCAATGATTGCTTCTAAAGCTTCATTAAAAGTGCAGAGCACACTGACAGTGCTGTGCTCAGATTTGAAGTGGCACGGTTTCATTTTTTCATATGTGAGCAGATACTCAGCTTTGTGCTGAGATACTTTGCATACAGCCTGTGCAATAATTTATTGGCTTCTATAGCATTCAGGGACCTGATTTTTTATGAAGCAGGATGCATTCGTAAAATGTGTGTTGCTAGTATTATTATTTTTAATTTTCTATTGGCAACTGAATTTTCTGCTGCAGAAAATAATGAAACGAGATGCATTTGCTGGATTCTAGTTTACTTTAAAAAAATCACAATGGCAATTTACATATGTTTCACCCTCACATCCAGATTTTCACTATTTACCATAACTGGATTAGATTCTAGTTATGTGCAGAACTGACTGGAAAATAAACTGGCATCCTGATTTGCATTCATTCTGCACCAGTGGTTCCCCTGTCAAATTTGTTCAGTGTGGCAGATTTGTCCAAGAGCTGGGGTTGTGTATTACCTGTTACTGCAGGCAAAAGCCTCAGGTATGTGTTGGCCCAAATCCCTGACGTGTATAAGGAATGACATGTTGCTACCCAGAGAATAGGAATACTGGAATTAAACTGCACTTAGTGCTCAGTGTAGAAGAGGGTTGGGGGGAAGGTTTGTGCCTGGTAGCCACGAGCCCTTATTTACAGAGTGTGAAAATGGCTGCTGAATGCAGGGTGACCTCAGCCTGTGATTTCCAGGTGGCTTCCTTGTAACTACTCCTGCCCTCCAAGGCAGATAGGTCGGGTTTGGGGGATGCCAACCACTTGTGTTTTGTGACTCCACTGCCACTTGACCAGGCAGCAGAAGAGTGGGTATGTTAAAATCTTCCCTTCCAATTGAAGGTGTGTGATTTCAGGGAACAAACATTTTAATTTATCTGTCTTTTCACGCTGTTTCCTCCTCATGGATTTTGTTTATAGGCATAGCTTACTATGGACAACAGCACTCAGTGGAAGTTGAGAAACAACCACTGGTGTGTGCTTATAAAATATGCATTAATGCTCAATGTTCTATGCAAAGTAAAGATTGTCTTTCTGGACTTATTTTCCATCCTTATTTTCCAGGTTTCGTGCAAAACCTCTCCTCTCAGGCCTAATGCCAGGCTCCCATTCTGGGGTGCCTTTTATTCTTTGCTGACTCCCAGGCAGAACCCAGTTTTCCCCATGTATTGCAGAACATACTGTTTGGAGAACTTAACTCTTCAGGAGTTAAATATTTGTTTCACCAGCCCTTGTTCACCCTGATGTAGAGAAGTTTAACTCATCCTTTACTCTGCTGTTCACTGTTACCATCCATGAGCTGTCACAATCAACCCCCATGTTCTTATGGCCAACACTATTACCTCAGCAACAGATTGGTGTTGATATTATTGCAAATTATATTTATAATCATAATTATTCCTCTTTCTGTCTAATAGAGATAGTAAAGGACTTGAAGGTAGATTTAGTACATATGTTTCAGCTTGAGCTGGGTAGATTTGTGAAAAGCCAGAACTAATAAAATAGGATATAAAGCTGTGCTAACACAAATATCAAGTTTTTGAGAAGTAAGCTAAATATAAAAGTGACCTGATCTGGGCTGAAGGGGGAGATACAGGAGGTTTTGCTTCCATGCAGAGTTATACAAAAGATAACACAGCAGTCAAAATAGTAGCAGCAGAGAAGAGAGGTAGATGTTTAAATGGGATTTGAGTGTCCCTGGTGGCTTCAAAGGAAAGTGAAGCACTTCACTTGTGTTTCAAAATATAAATAAACTTGCTGAGTGTATCACTCCTCCAACTGCTCATTCTAAAGGCTGCAAGAGGCACGTGGGTGCTGTGCATCACATCTGCTGGCTTGAGCAACAGGGGGGCTGATGTGTCCGTCTGTCCCTCTATCTGCCAAACAGGGTTTCTCACAGGCTCTGTAGTGCATTTTGGAGGGCTGGGGCCTGTGGAAATTTATAAGTGCTTGAGGATAATAGTGCAACTAGTGCCACGAGGTGTGCACAGCTCTGTGCTGTGATTCCCAGGGAAGCTTTCAATGGATTTACTAGAAATTCTCTTTACTTTTGTATTATTCTCTCACTAGAGATGCTTGGTAAGTGACATGGAGATCAAGATAAGAAAAAAAAGCATGAGAAGTTTCCAGTATTTACCTCACAAAGTTTGTGATGGGAATGCAAGATAGTATTTAGCTATTGCCCTCTAAGGAAAAGGGTTAAAAGCAGGAAATTTATGAAAGTAAACATTAGAAAATGTTTAGAAGAAAGAAGGCAGATGTGCAAAGAGGCTGTTTGGGATGACAGAGCACTCTGCTCCATGAATTAACACTCAGGTCTTTCTGACTATCCCACACTGCCAGTCCAGCACCCTTCCTCCTTTCCCCAGTGAAGAGTTTCCAAGACCTCACACCAAGGCCACAGCTCTGCCATGTATCTGTGGGCAGTAACAGGCATCACTAGATTGGTTTGTGCTCTTGTCACATTCCTCAAGAAAATTATGGCTTTGGTACACTCAGTTATAGATTTAGTATAAACCTGCTTGTATCATCCGCTCAGGCTGCTCTGAGAGACAGGACACAACTCAGGGCTGATGCCAAATAATGATTGATCTCTGTCTCTACAGAGCTTTCACAGGCACTAGGGACAGAGGGACACTCATTAAACTCTAGAGGATGCCCAGGTTTTCACCTGGTCAGATGCATCTATCTTGTTGAGGGGTTGAAAGTTATTGAAATTAGTCATTCAGAAAGATCTTTCATCAAGAGGCAAAATAGATCTAAATTTACTTTAAAAGTCAGCTTGTTATGTGTCAATTACTAGGAGCTGCAAATTTTTTGCCTACAGCCCCTTTTAACATGCTGTTTAATTATCATTTGTATAGGAGCTCCTGGGCAGCTCCATGCAGATACAAAAATGGTATTAATTGTGTAGGTAGTGCATAGGCAGAGTATGATGTAATTAGCAATATGAACATGCTATATTCATAAACATCCAGAAGACTCAGGTGCTGAACAAATTAGTAAAAGGTAAAAAAGCCAACCTGATAAATGGTATGGTAATGATGTTTTGATATTATCTCATGGCCAAGTGACCGCTTTAAGAGAACCTGAAGATCTCCTGAGTTCCTAATTGACTGTGACAGATTGGTACTAATTAGATAATCATGATACCAGCGGAAAATGAATTGATGGGGACACACAAAACCGGTGACATGCAAAAGGACACCAGGAAGGGCTTCCTTAAGCAGGAGGATGCTTCAGTGAGTTGAAAAAATACCTCATATTGTTCTCCTTTCTGCTCGCTGGCTTTTGGTTTTGTGGCCTTTTTAAGTATATGGTAATTCTTTTATCCTTTTTATGTTTTATTTAATCTCACAGTATCAGTGTTCCAGCTGGTTTAAACAGAGAACATTCCTGTGACCTCTGTCAGAGAGAAAGTGTTTTAAATTTTCTAAACTTTTCCTATTATAAAATCTCCTTTTAAATACCTGACATATGCAGATAACCTGTACTCAGATTAGTCTGGTATCAGGGCTTTTTGTTGCTACTGCTTTTATGCAATAAGCTGTGCACAAGCAAAATTTTACTTAGTCATGAAGATCCTCTTAATGTTTCCAGCATAGCAGAATATTGCAAAGAAATAAAACTTTAAAATTACTCATTTCACTAGGCTGTGCCTTCACTTGAGGCCAGCTGCTAGAATATAACCTTCCTGGGCCTGTGCCATTGCCAAGAGGTAACTGGTGTATGAATGTACCAAATAAAAGCTGTTGCAAAGGTGTTCTCGTGGTCTAGAAGTCCTGTCTAATTTTCTCTGGATGCAGCACAATTTCATATTTCTTTAATTATGTTTCAGTCACATGTATAAAACCAGTCCTTCAGAGCTGAAATGACTGCTGCTTTTGATTCATCACGTAGGGGCACATTTTAATTCTCCAAGAAGGTTAATAGCTTCATGCATCCATTGTTTAAGTAATTCCTTAAATCCTCAATGCTTACATGAGCAACTTTACTGGCTTATACTTTCTTTTATTGAAATATATTACAGGAAATACCTTAGAGCCTACTTCATTAAGTTTCCTCGTAAAATGCTGTATGTCTCAGAAAGAAAGAATACTAATCTGTAATACTTGTTTTTAAAGGGAGACCTCAACTCTTTACTCAAAAAATTGCAATAAGTATATCTCAACCTCATTAAATACAGCAATAGGTGCTCCTGTTCTGATGCTGCTGAAGCCACTGAAAAAAGATTGCTCTTCCTCAAGGATCAGTGTAAGACCAGGACTAGAATAAAGTTAATTAAGAAAATGTTGATTCACCGGTATTTTCCCCTCAGGTTATGATAGTGTTACTCATTGCTGGGTAAAACAAAAATCCCCATAATTTCCAAGAATTAGCTTTTTTTATTATTATTTTGAGTATACAAAGATGGAACTGCAGCATGATGGAGCTGAGATTCAAATGGGACTCCCTGGAGTTGCGTAGCTGCTTGTGAAAAGCTGTGTCATTTGAGATGGTCCTGTGGGTTCCTAATGAATACAATTGCTTTCCTTGGTGGTGCTCTTGCTACAGCTGGTTTAGTAAAATTCATTCACTGATGATGCTGGGCAATCTACCTCAGTGAAAATGTATTGATTTCCTGTAAAGTCCGTTTTTGGAAATGTTCTTACACTGTTTTTTTACATATGTTTGCTCATAATTTAATTGCTGTACCTTTAAGCTACCACTCGTGCTGACATAGCTTAAAGAGCCATACAAAGCTGCAGAAAGGTTCTTTTGCAGACAATTGGCATAAAGAAGGAATTAAGGCTTTTTAAAAGCTAAATTCTTTAAGATTTGTGTCAGCTTGTTGCCTACACTCTGTTGACACTTTATCTAAACTAAGTGTTGACTTCATGTTTAAGGGTTTATGCCACCAAATTATTAGGCTCAGTAGGTCAAATGGTGCATATTCAGGAGTTTTAAAGACATTTTCACAGCTGAAAAAAACACACAAGAAAGAGAAGCTTAATGTCTGTTTTAAAACTGTTAAACCTGTAGAAATTCCTGAAGCATAAAGTGGAAAGCATTGCTGCTTGCTGTGCTTGGTCTGCACCAAGGGAAACTGTGTGATGGGACATTTCCAATGAGGAAGGGAAGGAAAACAGTCTGAGCAGAGGAGAACACAGCAGTGATGGTTATTGCATGAAAGATGATTAAAGCAATTACTAATGCACTCTGTGCTTAATGGATATCTGACTGTGACTGTCTCCCATTGATTCTCCCAAACAGTGGCAGTCAGAAATACTGCCAAGCACCTCCTTTTTTGTGCAATTTATTTCAATCTCATTATTTACTTCACTTTGTAAAATATGCTTCATATTTTACTGCTTAGAGAAAATGAAGAAGGCAATAAAAAGCTGGGGGTGAACAGCAGTGGTTTCCTCTGCTGAAGAAAGAGCTGTTGGCACTGGATATTGGACAAACCTCCTTAGCAATAAGGGCAGGTAGATCAATTTTTAAAAGGCTGGCAGTGAACACTCCATATTTCTAAATCTTGGAAGCTGGGTCTGGATGCCTTAGCTGAATATATACTCTTCTGTAGCCTAAAACTTCTTAGATGTGATGTAAGAATCATTGCATGACATTTTCTGATCTCTATTATATGGAAGACCAAATCTGTCGATCACACTGATCCCTTTGGGTCTTAAAATCTTCCAGCCTATTGCAAGGAAGATTGCTGCCATTTAACTGCTGTACTTGGGGTACAGGTCCTGAGAGCTTCACACACCTCTGCTGGTTTACCTTCAGTTCCTGGAAGAAGTTGAGAATGATGTTTAGTTGCTTCCCAAATTTATGGGTTTCATTTAATTCATATTTTTTCATTAAAATTTCTAGGTCTGTAGTTTTTGTTTTAATTGTTTGCTGTAAGACTTTATTTCAGTTCTGTATCCTCTCACCTTACAGGATAGCAAACAAGGCCTGTGGACATTCATGCTCAACTCATTCCCAGGGATTAGGATTAAAACCATGCGAAGTTACTTTGTTTATTTGTATTTTTAATCCTCGTTTGGTACTACCATTAATACTCAGGTTTGTTTATTTTCTTTGTGGGGTTTTTATTTGTTTATTTGTTTTCTAGTGCCTTTAATACATCACACTTGAGCTATTGTTGAACCCCTTCACAGTTCATCAGTGCAGCACAGCTCCCTGCTGAATTGGGATGAGCTGGCTGAGTCAGCTGACAGAAGGAAGAGAGGAAGTTTGACAGCAGCACAGACTTACTTGGGCTTAAGGTGAGAATGACCTAACATTTGTCATCTGTTGTTTATTCTCTTGGCCTCTGCTGTATGAGGAGATCTAGTTGTGGATGGCTCCATTGGAGCTTTTATTGTTAGTGCCGCCGTGTATTTATGGATTTGTTTGGCACTTTGTGGGGAAGGTGGAGAGGTTTGTACAGTGATCCTTGGAGATGTTGTGTCTTCAGCGAGGAGAAGGTTTGCACAGGAGGAAGTGCCCGGGGAGTGCTCACTCTCTGGGCTCAGCAAGGACTCTACTCATGGTCATGGGGCCAAATTCAGGTCTCAGGACAAACATCACTTTGCTGGTTTGCCAGTCATATAATGTGTACCAGGTCATTACAGGCCAGTGAACCACATATACAAGCACCTTGGTGCAACCTTTTTTTACAGGTATCTTGTGATAAACTGGTCAGTCTGCAATACCAAACTGACAAGGGGTTGGTTCAGACCATAAGGTAAGAGAGAAACTTCTCTTGAAGAAGCAGCAGGAATTTTTTTGGTTACAAGTACAAAACAAGATAAATACCACATTACCTTTGGGGTCAACTGCCTCTGTGGACCCCTGTCAGGAGTGTTTCTAACATTTATGCATCCTGCACAATTTAGGATCAGAGATATTTTTTTTTTTGCTTTTTTTTGTCCTTAATCTTGCTGTTCAAAATAAACTGTAGCAAAATGGGGCAGCACTTTGATTGCTGTAATCATACCTACCGCACTTAAACGTTCTGAAGTGTTCTTCATCTCCTAATTTTCAGCTATCGGTAGTGTTTAGGACCCACTTTGCTTCCTCTTGAAATCACAGCTTCTGAGACAGAGCACCATAAGAGGTTGTCAGCAGCCTTTTCAACTCTGAACTCCTGCTTTTCAGCACCTCAGTGATATTTTTTGTCTCTTCCTTTGGGGGAGAAGAGGACAGGAAGCTCTTTTGGATCATGATGGCTCCTTGTTCTTTCCTGATTATGCTAAAATTTCAAGGATAACATTAAGAAAAACGACCTAGAAAATTATTGTGCTGATTCCTTTTCTAGTTTAATGGGCACTAACTACTAATTGCCTTTGTAAAACCTAGCCTAAACTATTTTTTTTCTCTCCTCCTTTATTTTATCAACAAATTTAATTAAACTGACCACAAAAGAACCCAGAAATGTGAATACCAAAGATATTGGATTTGTTGACAGATATGAATGTGTTAATTAGCCTTCAATTCAGCCACATTAAGAAAATGAAGTCTTCAGTACACATCTCTGTTGTTTTTTATTAAAACTAAGGAATTAGAAAAATAAAAAGTGTCAAAGAATAGATAATAAAGCTTTCAGCGTATTGAGACAATATTGGTAAATCTTAGTGATGTGCTGTTTATAAAAAAAGGAAATATAATGCTAAAATTCTAATGAGAATCTGCACTGTTGACTCTCCTTCTAGCTGTGGGAACAAAGCAATTTATACTCTTTTCTGGAGCTATTAAAATTGTTTCTTTTCTGTTGTATGCTTTTGCACTTATGGTTTTTTCAAGTTCTGCTCCTGTGGGTCTCCTTTCTCCTTGTTTCTTATTGGAGTGATGAGGATCATTTGAGTCAAACCCATTAACTTTCGCATGGTTTTCAATCAAGACCTTTGCAAAATGCCCAATTTCACAATGGCTTTAATGGAAAATATGGATTGCTTCATATTTGATTTAGACCTCACCCCTCTGCTTGTTTTCTGGTTTTTCCTCTCAGGCTATGCAGCTTTGCATGATTTTTCTCAGTCTTTTCCTGGTATAAGCATGTATGTTGGACAATTGCTCTGCTTCTAATTGTTTTTGCACTGCACTGAAAGTCATTAATGTTATTTGTAGTGATGCGCTTGCAGTTGGGATCCTGGAAATTAAAACATTCAGTGGGAAATCCCAGCTCTGCTGGAGTTAAGGAAAAATCCCCATTGAGTGAACATTTTTTCCTATCTGTCTAGGCATCCAGGTCGAAATATAATTAGACCCTGGTTTGTCTCCATCTCATCTTTAACAGAGATATTAACAATCTTTAATAGAAATAGTAACTGTAGTTGTTGTAGCTGATACATTACAAACTGTTAGTTTACTCTTTCCAGGGAAATTCTTCGACATAGGATTCTCTCCTGAGCCAGTCCAATTGAAGTGGAAGTGACAGCCCTGCCTAGTGATCTTATTTAAGGAATTGGAATGTCCTTTCTCACTGGTGTCAGAGCCAATTCCTGCCGAGGCAGTAAGAGCACCTACAGCCAGGAGAGTTTGATAGGCCCTGGCTTTCCTTAAAAGCATTTCTCAGGGTTGTTACTGTCTTTTACTATTGAGTGCATTCTGAAAATATACTTTTCTGGAGTATCCAGACACTGCAATATTTACCTAACTATTAAACTGAGAGTATACAATATATGAGCAAGTGACAGTGTGTTTTTGATGGATAAAGTGGGCTTTTACTGCAGAAGAGGTGATTTCTCTTAAAGGTGTTGTCACTGCCTGAAAGGAAGAATAAACAGAATAAACAGACAGGGAAGTGGCTCTATAGGTATGATTTTTCTGCTGAAGTGATTTTGTTGTTCTTTTGGCTGCAGGTGGAAGAAAGTGTTCGCTCTTTCCAAGTGACGTAAAAGCATCTGGAAAAGTGAAGGTAATGGACTCCAGATAGAGTTTTTTTCAAAGGCTTATACTGAATATGACAAATATTTGTGATTGCATCACTCAGGCCTTATGAATAAATGGAAACTTTTTAATTTATGTGATAGTTTTGCTCTCAGAGCTCTATTTCCAAGGAGCCCTAACACAGTAATGGGCAGGGCTGGTAATGGGAGTGATTCCTCTCACCCATTGTGAGTTTTTGGAATGTAGTATTTGTGTGTAATTCATAAAAGTATGGTTTTCACTCACTAAAGACGTGTCTTCCAGCTTCAACAGGTCTAATACACAACTACACTTCTCAGCCTGCCTACAACCAAACAAACAGAGTTTGCTCATTGCGTAGATTCAAAACAAGGGGAACAGCAATTATTGTCTAAATATAAAAGAATTAAAGAATTTAAAATAATAAAAAAGGAGAGATAAAAAAAATCTAATATGGCCATGGGGTCCTTCTTAGTTTACAGGAGGCTTCTTCCACAGACTCTTTTTGTGATGCCTTTCCTTCATTTTGACCTTCTAGATTTTGGCCCGAGAGCATCCTCAGTGCACAATTGATAAAGTCATGCTCAGAGGAATGGTAGCCAGAGACAGCCTCAGTAGGAACGCCCTTTTTCACTCACTTCCCAGTTTGTACTGGATGTCTTAAGAACATGATAGGGATTTCTTTTTTTTTTTCCCCAGTCATACCACATTTCAAAAAGGCCAGCTTGGTTTCTTGGGTTTTCATAAATGTGGGTTGTCGGGTTTGTTGTCTTTTTTCATTTCCCTGGTGAAAATCTGATGTCACAAATGCATTCAGAGCGTACAGAAACCCTGAGAGAAAAGAGCAGATTTGTTTATTAATATCAGCACCGTGTTACTTTTTGTGGCAGGGAAAGTGTAAAGGCAGAAAATTATTCAAACCCCATGTGTCCTGACTGCAAAGTGAATTTGTAGGAATCCAGAGCATAATAAGCCAATCGACTCGCTAGACAGTATTTTTAGTTTTTTGCTGGTTTATTTCATTATTTTCATTTAATGCCATTTCCAAGTCTCTCCAGCCTCTCAAAGTGAGCATATGGGCAGTATACAGATATCACAACTATGTCTTAATATCCAGCTGCTATTTGTGTGCAAATGGGGACTGGCTGCATGGCTGGCTGGAGTACCCTGAGCGAACCTGCTGCTTCCAGAGAAATATTGCAGAATAATTTTAGTCAATTGCCTTTTAATTGGGATAGTTGCTGATCCCTAACATAGATTGTTGAGAAGTCACGATAGCAGAGAGAAAGCAGATTGAATTAATGGAAGTATGGAAACTGTTTAGAGGGGAGGAAAGGGAGCTCACACTTTCTTCTCTGCCTTTACAGACAGAGGATTGGGGTCACAAAAACTCCGTGTGGGTTTAGCATCCTTGAAAACGCCAGGAACGGAGTAATTGGATGACTGGTACAGGCTGTGGATGCAGCTCTTTCATCACTGCCCCCAGTGAATGGAATTCTTTCCCTTCTACATTTAAATCTAATACAGACCTTCAGATTTCGCTGTGGATGGTTTCACCTCTGAGCTGAGCAGCAGCCCGAGAGGTAAGGTTTGGATAACTGGAGCAAATCATTCAAAACCCTTTTCTGAGCAGTGCATTATGCATGCACCAGTTTTAAAAATGGACAATTATAAAGACACATCTTTTAAAAAGTGCTTTTGTAGTGAGTAAAACAAAGTGATTTCTTCATGCTCCTGTGCAAAATGGGTGGCTACAAAGCATGTGCGTAGATTTCTGGAGATAGAATACAAAGGGGATGATAATAATAACCTTTTTCTGTTGCCAGAGAGTCTGCACAAAGATTCCATCAGCATTTTGCACAGCATGATAAAAAATGTGTTAAATCCTCCTCATCAATGGAGGTTCAAAGTGAAACAGAATCAAGCAGAATACGGTGCCCATAAAGAAAAGAAATAGCTAAATGATATTAAGGAAGCCGAGATAACTGAAAAAATTAACAGCACAATAGCTTATAGAATCTGCTTCTGCTAACAAAAGGCAATCTTTAGTGCCCAGTATCTCCATTCAGTCTGAAAAAGAAAGGTAGTTACATTCTGGAATGAACAAAACAGGAAAGGCAAGATGCAGTCAGGGACTTATTCTTGACTCCAAACTGCCTTGGGCATCATTCCACATTGAGGTGTTGGCAGAGAGAGGAAGTCTCTCTTTTTATTGAGAGGTGAGAGTTCAAGTATCTTAACTTCAAAATTTAAATTATCAATGTAAAATCATGCTTTTCCTGTTTTGTTCATCTGTTGCTTCTCCATGGGAATCATATTTCGGAGACTTTTTCCCATGTAAGACTCCTGCTTTGTATTTGTGGTTGAAACCAGATGAGACAAAAGTGTTTTGGGGGTTGCTTTTTGTTATTTTGCTGTTTACAGCTACATATTTGTCTTCAAAAGCAAAGGTCAGAGGGTTGTATTAATTAGAAATACTTCAAAAACTTGTATCTCAGAGCTCTTCAAGAGCCAGAATAATAAAGAACAGAATCGGAAAAAAGAAGGTTAAGGGAAGATGAGAAAAAATTTAATATACCTTTTTTAGACTTATATCTTATTCTCTTATGTACAGAGAAGCTTTAAATCAAGCAAATTAAACCTTAACATGGTTCACCTTTGAGCACAGGGCATAAGTGAGACACCTCCTGAGGTCACTGAGCTACTGCAGCAGCCCAGTAAGAGCCAAAGTAATTTTGTTTAAATTCAAAACAGGTTCTGGCAACACATGCCCATCTGCCACCCCTCTGGCTGAGAGTCAGGTCTGCAAAAGTAGTATAAAGATGTAACTCCTTGCTTCTTGTCTGATTTTTTTTTTACCCCTTCAGGTGCCTCTAAGAGCTTTCCATCTGCCTATATCAAGTTCTCCAACAACATGAGAAAATAGGTCATGAATGCAGGGGGACAGAGAGGCAGGTTAAAAGAAAGAGGGGAAAAGGCAGCAGTTTGTTGTTGGAGAATAGATGGAGATGGATGGAGGCTCTTGTGGAAGGGCCTGGGGAGGGAGGAGGATGTTACTGAGCTCAGGGTTGAAAGTCACTAATACTGGTTATTTTATCAATATAGTTAGTTAAATATTCTGATGGACCTTCAAATGTTTTTGACAGTTCTGCAGTGTTTGCATCTGCCATGAAAATAATCATGCATTCCTGGGAATTGGTAAATGTGCCAAAAAAAGAGGCAGTCTCCTTCATTTATCCTTGTTTTATGCTTATTGTAACTCATGTTACAACATGATGAATTAATTGTGTCTTACAGTGCTACAGGTTGACTGCATCAAATTGGATGAGTGTAAAATACCTCAGTGCAGTAATTACCATATGCTTCCAAAAAGGCATATGCAGAAAAGCATATGACATGATGTATGTATGGCCATAAGTAAAGAAGAAAAAAGAATACTAACACATGACTTTTTTAAGGGGAAAAACTTACATGGGAAGCAGAATAACAGTTCTGATGGTCAGGGAAAATATGGGACAAAAAATATAGAGTCAGAAGTCAGTGTTGGGAAGTGAGAGAGGCAGAGAGGATGGGGCAGAGGCCTTGCAGATGTTGACTAATGGATGTTGAAAATTGAACCAGGTGTTATCTCCCAGAAGAAAGAAGCAAGTGTAGGTGTAAATATGCAATTTTTGAACTTGAAGCAACTAGAGTTTTGAGTTAAAACTGAATAATATCGCTGTGGAACATTTAGCAGGAATTGGCGTGCATACAAGTTCAGCCTTGCATGGACAGAAAAAGATAGAAAAAGAGGAATAAAGAAGACTGTCTTTTTTAAGCATTTGGGTTGCACTTTGTGGTGTTGGAGAATACAAATAAAGAAGGGATTTCAAGGAATCATTATGATTAAATGAATGAAAATAGTATGGTAGGATTCTGATTTGCAGCTTAAATGATGTTAAAACTGAAACAAGAAATATGAAACTGTGAAGGCAGGGGAGGTTGTTTGTAGGGTTTTTTTGTTTGGTTTAGAAAGGATACTCTTTTTCCCACAGTTTGGGCTACAGATGGGTCTCATGGGATTTGCTTTCCAACATAAGGGAGATATTCAGGCTTTCAGATTTCATTACCACTTTCTTCATTATTGTGCCTTGAGGAGCTATAAATAACACATGGCTAATTTGTGAATATGGCACATTCCAGGGGATGTGTGTATTTTAATCAGGGCACCTTCTGACATTTGGTAATTGGTTTACAAATTTGTTATATAATTTCATGAGTGTTAAGTTGCTAGGAGGAAAAAAAAAATCTAAATTTATGTGGTCTAAAATCTGCCCTCATTGGACCCCCACAGCAGCTGGTGCTCCTGCTAGGTCTAACTGAGGACAGGTTTTGAGTCAACAAGTACATAAACTGGCACCATTTCTTTATTTCTTATAGTTTTAGTAAAGTAATTAGTAGCTACATTCTTCATTACATCTTTTTTTTTAAATTAAAGCTTTTTTATATGTGTGTGCATATATCACTAAACTGCTTTTAAGATGCGGGTAAATTTTGTCTGGTGAGAAATCTGGTTTTGTGTTGGAAGGTGCATGTTTGTTATTGGGGTATTTTTTTTAGGCCTGCTTGTAGGAACAAGTGTCGCCAGTGAACAAATTGTGAGCTTGGATGCTGCCAAAGTCAGTTCTAAGGCTGTTTTGTGTAATATTGTTCTCCTGCAGCTGGGACATCCAGTCCCTGGAAATGGGCTGGCTTATGTCTGAAATAATAGACATATGACATGGATTAATACGGAATATTATCGCCCATTTTTTGTATTATTGCAATCAAAAGTACAGACACACTGAAAAGTCATCTCATTTAAAATCTTAATTATTGGCTATTAGTTTTCTCTTTTGCACAGAACAAGACATACCTGACTGTGTTTCCAAACTTTCCTTACTTCTCTGGCTATACTTATTGCCACACAGCATTTAGTGTGTTAATTAACTGCTAACGAATGAATATTTCAGCTATAGACTACAGTGCTGTGCTTGTTCATTTATATTATTACTCATTCGATAAAGGCAATATGTGCCAAACAGCAGGATCCGGTGGGAACATCTGCTAGTGAGCAGCCACAGGCAGGAGAGCAGCTCACAGGAAGAAATCCACTCTAGTAATTTACTGCATTTTAATTTTACTTACTCATTTTAGGGAAGGCTGTGGGTCGTTCAACCTATTTGTGACAGGCCATGGGGTTGGTTACTGCCATTTTGGGTAAGAGCATGGGGGGGGGGGGTCTGTCCGCCATTTTGGGTAAGGGTGTGGGGTCAGTCCACCATTTTGTGACAGGCCATGGGTCACTCCGCCATTTTGTGACAGCCCAAGAGCCCAGTCCACCATTTTGTGTCAGGCCACAAGTCAGTCACCACCATTTTGAGACAGGTCATGGGGGCAGTCCACCATTTTGTGATAAGCCATGGGACAGTCTGCCATTTTGGGGCAGTCAGTGAGGTCAGTCCACCATTTTGTGACAGGCCATGGAGTCACTCCCCCATTTTGTGACAGCCCATGGGGTTGGCTGCTGCCCTTCCAGTGTGGGCCAAAGGCTGACTAAAGCTCAAGGGGATGGGGTGGAGCAGTGGCCATCCCATCTACACAGAGTTTGCCCAGTTCCCCTCTACTTCCCACCTCATTGTTTTGAGCCAGTCAAGCATTCCTCCAGTCTCCTACAGTCGTGGTGCAGGAAGCCACTCACAGATAGATAATTTAAACATCTGGACTGGCAGGGAACTCCACTCATTCTGTCTCCCTGTGTCCCACTCCTTTAGGGCAGAACTGATTTAAAACATAGCTACAAAACATATTGAGGTGTCTCATAAGAGTTAGAACATCCCAGAAATGCTTCTCTGGCTTCCTTTGGCACTGAATCCATGTTTTTGCTTCCAGAGTAATCTAAAACATTATTTACAAGTGTGTTGTACTACAGCCCCCTCAAGTCTTTGGACTTGAATCCTGGCTCGTTAGCAGCAAATAATGTGGCCTAGAAACTGAAACAAGGTTCACAAGGTCTTGGAAGCTCCGTAGGAATACGCAGGCATGAGGGACTTGTACCCTCCATGTCGTGAGCTGTGGGTAACTGATAAGATCAGACAGTTGAGGGGGAAAAGAAGATCAGCCCTGAACTGGAATTCTGAGGACTTCTATGCTTGTCTTACATTTTTCAAGTTCTTCTACACATAACCAATGCAATATTAGCATTTTTAGACGGATGATAAGTAAAAAAAAGTAGTGTAAGAGTCCACTTAAAGCCTTTGTGATTTCTTCTCCCTAATTTTACTCCATTTTTGTTGCAGCAAGGATCCCATCAGCCCAAGCCGCAGCACCGGGTATGAAGGTGAAATTTGTCTGGCCAGCCGAGTGTCCCTGCTGTCCATGCACAGCTGCAGACAGGGCACTTGCTGCCCCATATGCCGAGGAGCACAGCCGCCCGTGGCATGTTTTAACATTAAAAATGCCAAGCACCTGCGACAGGTTTTGGCATCTGTCACTGCAGCGTGAATTGAGGCAGCTTGGGCTGTACGAGGCTGGCTCAGACCAGGCAAGGTACCAAAAGTTTTGCCTTTCTGTTCCAGAGCTTCACCTCTGCTGGCGTATGGAAAACCCTCTGAGGCTCCAGGTGCTGTGGAGCTTGTATTTGCCTTCTGCAAAATGCTTCTGGAATTTTAGGATGATTTACATCAACGTATCCCTCTGCCACTGCGCCAGGAGGAGTGATGAGGGTGCCTGAAACACTGCAAGGATAAGGACACAGGAGAACCACACTCAGAAACCAGGAGGAGAGTCCCCATGAGGAAGGTGAGTGACTGCAATACCATGCCATGTTGCCCAAGAAAAGTCACAATTACTTTCATGGTGCTTGGTGGAGATTCTTGTATGTGGCTGGAACCTGAGGCTTGAAAACAAATAGGAAAGGGGTATTTCTGCAGAGTCTGATGGATAACAGCTCCTGCACTCCTGCTGAACCAAAGTCCTGGCTTCTCCTGTTGAATTCTGGAGCCAGCCCCTACTCCCTTGGACTCAAGTGTGGTACAGCCTTGCCAGCAGCCCTGGTGGTGCTCTTTGTCAGGGATCTGGATGGGTTTTTCCTTATTTTTTATTTTTTTTTTTTTTGGTGCATCACAAAACTGCTTAAACAAATTACTTTTGAGGATTATAATCTTCCTTACAAGAATTGCTTCTCTGTAGTGTATCTTAGACAACTCATTTAAGAAACCATAGTAATTTCTTGTAAGAAGCAGTGTGTCCTCTCTTTGTTAGCTGTGGTATTTATCAGCTTGAGTTTCATACAGACTCCCTTCTTTCAGTCTGGGTTTTTCTTGAGAAAAAGCCAGTATTGATAATAGTGTTTTAGAAATAGGTTTTGTCAGTTTGTGGGATCTTTGAGGTTGTCCAGGCAGTCACTGGTGGGTTTTACTGGGCTGGATTCAGCTATGCAATACTGTAACTTCAAATATTGTGGGTTTTTTTAGTGTATATGGCCATAAAATAGAGACTTTGCCATAAAGTAGATTAAGGAAGATCTTTGATGCTTTTATTCAAAGCACAGCTCTTCCAGAAGGTGAGCATTAACAAGATGGTGGTGTCACATTTTCATGACAAGGTTCTGACTGAGCAGATCATTAGAGAGAAAAGGATCAAAGCCACTTCCACACGTTACATTTTGGGTGGACATGAGTGTGTCACTGGTAAAAAAGCTCAAGTAGCGAACTTCACAGGAGGGGAAGCTCACTCCTCCTGCCTTTCTCTCCTTTGCAATTTCCTTTCTGTGAGTCACAAACTTCTGGAATTTCAAAGCCCTGATGTTTTAATCCAACTGCAAGGGCTGATATAACTACGATAAGAGACTTAGACATCAGAAAAGTTGTTGGGTCTCCTTCATCACTAGTGGACAAAACCCAAATACCATGTTAAATTATAAAGTGTTTAGTTCTTACTGTCTCTCCAGTAATCTCCTTGGTCTGAAATTGCCTTTTTTTTTAGGAAGGGCTACTTATCTAACAAAAGACTGAATAAATTCACTAAGCACAGAACAAAAATTTCTAGCCAGTGCAGTAAACTGGGAAGTTTTACTTTCTAAATTTTAGTAAATTAGATTTCTAATTAATTTAATTCAATTTATTAATTTAACTTAAATGTTTAAATTTTACTAAATTGGAAAGCTACTTTACCATGTAAACCTATAATCTTTCTCTGCCCTGTATCTACTGGTGGGACATTTGGTGCTTTCTTCCAGGGGTATGGAATACGTAACCTAGAGCCCAGAGGCACAGGGAGCTGTTAGATCCTCATCTCAGGGTCTGCTGCAGGCACGAAAGGCCCTTCCACTGCTTGATAAAGTCTATTGAATGTGTTGGATTGCCATTAATCATGTTCATCTCTGAGTGGGGACCAGCTCCTTGAATATCTCCAGGAAAGCAAGCAAGAGCTGCACCGAAGTTGTGTTCTTCAACAGGATTGTAAGATGTGTAGCCAAAGTGCTTCTCAAACTTTTTACAGATACTCCAGCACATTTGGAGCATTTGACAGAAAAGAATAGGCAAGGGCAACAATGATTGATCCATGTTTTTAAGAAAAAAATTGGAGCCATATTTCCACCGGGGGCTTCAGAGGGACATTGATATATTTATCGTGAAAGAGCTGACGAGCGCCAGCCTTTGCATCACTAAAAATGTAGCCTGCTGCAAGAATTTACAGCTGGAAGGGAAGATTCATGGCCCCTCTCTTTATTTATTGGAAAAATCTCTCGCAGCTGAGTAAAGACATAAATATAAAATTAAATCACAAAAACTACTCTGAAGTAGTGCTAAGGTTACTTCTTGAACCTACAGGGCCAGGACAACGTAAAACTAATGTTGAAACACAATTGAGATGAACAGTATTTACTCATTCATTATGACAAACACCACTTTACAGCTAATATGTAAAATCACAGATTATTTGAGAGGTTTTGCTATATTCTTGTATGCAATGCTTAACAGAAGGACTCAAGGACAGCACATTAGATAAAGGTACATCCATGAATTTCTGTCCTTATGATTTATAGCTTTCATGTCACTGTAAAATTATTTTTATAGTTCATTTTACCAGTGCATGGTGCAAGAGAACTTTATATGCTTTTGAAAAATAGCTTCATAAACAACAACAGTCTTTGATATAAGTTCTTTGAGTGCATAGATATGGGTGTGAATGCCTGGATTAGGTTAATATTCTTTGTCCTTTTTAGGTCACTGCAGATATTTTAGGTGGCCTCAGCTCCATGGGCTGAGGAGCGTAGGAGACAGAGCAGGTTCCTCCCGTTAGCAGCCAGGAGAAAGGGGGCAAAAGACAACCCACCCCCAAGAAAAATTAGTGTTAATGTGTTATTTTGGCTAAGACAGTCCATAATCTCTACACAGTGAGTTTTCATCTCTAGATCTTCCAGCTCTTTATCTCAATTTTGCAGGTTGCAAAACTGATTAATTACACTAGCAACATCACTATAATTAGTGCTGATTATTCTCCGAGCTTTTTCTTCTTTAATCATCTGTTTAATTTGAACTAAATCCCTATTTATCCAATAGTGTAGGTTTTAGCATCGGAAGACAGAGGATTTTGCTTAAGTCTTTCCACCTTGAACTCAGGTATTGTTATAAAAGCTTTGGGAATACTTCTGTGGGATTATAATGATTATAACTAGATCAGGATTTGGCGTTTTTTAAATATCTGGTCATCTGTCAAATGTTTTGATGGTATAGCTAGCACTTTGTTTAAAAATCTAGGAAAAAGAGATGAAAAATAACATCCTGGAGACTCTCCTAAATTCCCTGCCATATTTACACCATTACTCCATAACAGAATCTATGTTAAGCCATGAGGGACAATAGTTTGTCGGCCAACCTGGAGAAGTTTGAATTGTCTTTAATCAAGAGCTGTCAGGATAAAAGAAAGTGCGTGGAAGCAATATGTGGCTGTTTTTCAAAACATAAATGAAACAAAATCTGAAGAAATAAGGACTGTACAGCACTTGTACATGATGTGCTCTTTATATTATCAAAGCCTGGTTTATGTTGACATATTGTACCATGACAGGCGAAAAGAAAAAATAAGTAAAACGTACAGCTGAGGTGGAATGATGTAAGAGAGGGAAGCAATACTTGCTTCACCTCAAATCTTTCAGTAGGTCTGGAGCTGATAGTTCTCCTTCATTAACACCTCTCTGTTGGGGCTTCTCTCTCCTTTCATGTCCCCCCAAACCACTGCAAAAATAATTACTAATGATGATGAATAGGTTTTTTCTATTTTCAGTTTCCTCTATATGAAAATCTTTATCATTCTCTAACTACATGAAAAGTCAGTGTAATTCTCTGTAATTCATGAGCTCGGGGCATTTTGCCCATTAGGATCTTTTTTTTTTTTCATCATTTTGGTAGCTGCAGCACCTCTTCTCAAAGTGAAAAGAAACATAAGTCACCTCTTGGTCCTATCCTAAACCCCTGCTTAGGTAAGAGACTTGCTGCACATCTTCTGTAATGGTTTGTCATACTTAATTGGAACAGGAAATATTGGGGCTATGCCAGGCATATTTCTGTTTGGTTAAGTTATTCCCATGATTCTACCACTAAAGATGTGCTTAATCTTTCTTCTGTTTAAAAAAGAAATAATTTTTTACATGGTGACTCATTTCCTTGTTTTAGCATTACCATATGCTGTTTATTGGTTATTTAAATTACATTAATGTAAAACGCTGAAGTTTGATTTCAGTGACATTACTGAGTGGGGGGTGGTGCATCAATTGTAATATGTGATGTTCAACTGCACTCACTGCAGATTTAGCATGTATTAACTTTTATTAGAGGTGAAATACTTGCCTAGTGAACAAGGTTATGGTGAGAAGGAAGTGCTCGTTTTCCAGTCATGATCTTGTGCTTTTTTCTTTCTAATTTTCCATGACTCTAAAACTTCGTTCTTTCTTTGGTGTAAGTGCAGACTAAAAACCCAAGCAGCTTCTGCTGTGATTCTTTCCCATTGCAATCCTGATTCTGAAGTTCAAGTTCGATTTTCAGACTAATGATCTCTCATCAGGTCACTGCAGGGAAAACAGAAAACAATGAGAGAGGAAAACAAACAGGAGATGGTACATATGTAGCTTTTTTGGTCCTCTCTTGACCTTCCATGTCTAAGATGTTGGTGTATTTTAAAGGACAAGCTGCAGGAGGCACCTAAAATGACATCATATATTCTATTAGCCTTTAATGTAATTTTTCTAATATTTCTAACCTTTCCAATTGCAGTAAACCTACCTGGGTTTTGTTGTGTTTTGGTTTGTTTTTTTTTATTAAATTGTAAGTACAACCATATTAACCTCTTTGGTTCTATTTGTTCTTCCTACAAATGCCCTTTCGTGGTAGCCTGTTCTTACTTATTCCCACAGCTGGTGGCTCATGAAACATAGACAATGCCCTCCGTAGGGAGTCTTAAAACACAAATATACTGGTTTTTAACGGGCTGTTCTTCAGTATCAGCTGTGAAGTGGAAGCACAGGAGGAAGAAAAACAGTGATATTAATCTATCAGCCTAGGAAAGGCAAAAATAAGAAAAGTATTGATTTTTTTTAACATCATTAGAATCAGCAATGCATCACTTCCTTGTGAGAAATGACCCATCCTCCTCCTTTCCAATGCTGTTGCTTTTGTAATGAGTTTTTATTAGGTAACCTATTTTCTGTAAATTATAGCTCAGACTTCTCAACAGACATCAAACCATCTTCTCAGTAAGAATACTTGTTATTTATTTCTACTTGGAAAAAATGCACTTCCCAGTAAAGTAAGAGTTGTAAGGGAAGTCATATGTAAAATAGAATTGTGGGTATAAAAATGTTAATTGCAATCCTTGGTTAGGTTTTCTTCCTTGTCATACAAAGAGTTTAACTTAAACCTATTCTTAAATTTTTCCCATTTGGGACTTGATGCCAAAGTCCATTGGTGAGGTAGTAAAGCCTTTCTATTGAGTTTAATTCTATCTCTGAAGATTTAATTGGAAGGGAATTTGTTCTTCTGTTTGTATTTTCATCAAAAAGATCTCATCAGTTCATATTAAATATAGATATATTTTAAGATAATAAACCCTTTTAGTTAAATGCCTTAAAGATTTGTTTAATTGGTCTGTGTTACATGGTTAGGAGACCTTATGCCCTTTTCCTGCCTAAAATGACTTGGACATTGGTGTTTACATTTAGTATCTTTGGCTATTCTTGGTGAAAAAATATGGTCAAATATTTGACTGAACCTCCATTTTCTAGTCCTTTTTGGATAGAGCAGTGTGAACTATTCTGCTCGAAATATTAACGTTAACAATGGCCAAGGGAAGGACAGCTTCTGAAAGAAGGACATCAGATGGATTTATTTTCAGCCTAGAGCTTTGAAACCATTTTTACTGTTCTCCAAATGATTCTGACATTATGTGTAAAAAGAATCACAAAGCATGCCGTGTTTTATCAAAGCTGCAGGATCTTTTTATTATTTTAATGCACTGTTTAATGAGACAACACTGAAATAGGATCAGTCCCATTAATTTTTAAAGCTGTATTCTATACATTGTCAGTTTTTTAAGAGAAGTGAAAAAGGTTTGTAGCTCATCTTTCACCTGTACATCAGATCCCTTCTTATGGTTAGTTCTGGTATAAATGACAAAAGGTTTGGAGTCTTTTAGGGATCTGTTTCAACTAACTATTCAATACACACTGATTACAAGGACTATTTGGAATTACATGTAAACTCATCACCTTCTCTCAATGACTTATAATTTGGTATTTCCTTATTTTAGTTGTTTTTATTATCTGTGCAAAGAGAATCATACAAATGATGAGTTTAGCTTTGATCCACATTTGCTATGGCATCACAGCCTACTTCCCTCAAGCTACTGAAAATATGTTTATTCTTTAGCAGAGTCGAGAAACCAAAACACTCTGAATAACAGGCACAGTTTTCTTTCTACCTCTGCCCTGGGCTCAGATCTTTTGCACTGTTTTAATGTTTTATGGTGGTTTAATGTTTCATGGTGTTGAAACAATTTTTTTATTTGATGGGATTCCTGTAGGATATCCCGAAGGATAACAATTAGGCTGGATTTTTCAATCCCAGTACTGGAAGGCTAGAGAAGAAGATAAAAGGATGCAATTACTGAGCAAGTGTGTACATTCTGGGCAAGGTTTCTTGATGATTCCAGTAGCATGGTAGGATTCAAGGGCTCGTAGAGGAAAACCTGAAGCATGCCACTTAACCCTTATTCCAGGTTTCTGTAGGATCTTGGCACAGCTTTAATGTTT